TCATGTCTAACAGCCTGGCAAGGTGCTGGTGCCATTTGGTGCCTCCAGGTGAAACCTTGTGTTTGGACCAAGACCTTCCTGGGGCCTCCTCGGAGCTGGGCCCAAAGCACCCCCTTGCAAGCCCTGTAGGCTGGGCAGGACCAAGGGTCTCCCTTTTCCAGGTGGGCATGGTTGGGGAAGGAGAAGACTGGCTGCTGATTCACCAGCTCAGCAACGAACCAGACGCCCGCTCCATGGAGGTCCCAGACCTCAACCCATTCACCTACTACAGGTAACAACACACCTGGTGGACAGGAGGGCTGCCCAGAATGGAGCTGAGTTTGGCTCTGAGGCCCTGCCCTCACCATCTCATTCCTCCTGTCTACCCCACCCAGCTTCCGCATGCGTCAGGTGAACATCGTGGGCACCAGCCCACCGAGTCAGCCTTCTAGAAAGATCCAGACCCTCCAGGCACCTCCTGACATGGCCCCAGCCAACGTGACCCTGCGCACAGCTAGTGAGACCAGCCTGTGGCTCCGCTGGATGGTGAGGTTCCCTCAAGGGCCGCATGGTGTGACGTCCCCTTGACTTTCACCACCTTGCAGAGCTGCTGTGGCCTCAGATACCTATGCTCCTGTTGCTTGTCTTGCTTTTTATTCTTTTAAAATGTTTCTTTTCTTCTTTACTCACCTAGTGCATTAAGTTTTCCACTGCTGGACACAATCCCTGACACCTACAACTTAAAGAAAGAGAGGTTTAACGTTTCAGGGGACTTAGTCCATGGTTAGCTGGTTCCCAACAGGAACATCTGGCGGGAGGGCATAGCAGACCAAAGCTTTGTAGTTCATGGCAGCCAGAAGCCAACAGACGAAAGGTGCCAGAGGGGAAATGGCCAGGTATCAGGCATAGACCCCAAGGCCACGCCTCTATCATCCACCCAGACACAAGAAGAAGTGTCTTTCATCAATCCTTTGAGTGGACTTGAAAGCTGACACTTCACCCTAACCACCACATCTGATAAGCTGCTTTCTAATCTCAACCAAAGGAGCAAGTGCCTCCAACAAGAGGAAGGAGATAGAAAATGCTATTTACTGAGCATAGCCAAATGCCAAGCATTTTAAACTTCTTACCTCGCAGGAATCTTACAAAACACACTTGTATCATCTCAATATACATCTAAGAAAACTGTGGCTAAGAGGGGTCAGGAATTTCCCATGGCCACACAGCTCCCACAAGGAGAGCCTGATGCTACATTCTGTGCCCTAGAGTGAACACTTGCTTCTGAGATCAAGCGGGCTGGAGGGCGTCTGAGCTCTCAGGCTGTTCTCACAGGTCAGGCTGGTAGGCTGAGGGACACTGCCTGCGTGCAGGTGGCTCTGCAGGAAGTAACAGTCCTAACAGTGCGGGCTTCCTCTCCTTCCAGGTGCTCTAGCAGTACTGTATTCCGCCAAGCTTCAACTGTGTCAGTAGGCTCGTGAGAGCCCAGAGATCACGGTCTCTACTTTGCGGAGGGAGAAACTGAGGCAGGGAATGATTGGACAACCTGCCCAGGACCCCATTATCCTCCCACAGCCATAGTTAATAGCAGGGCTGGAGCCCCAGTACAGGGAGTCTGTACTCCCCAAATCCACAGCCCTAGCCTGGAGCACACTGCCAGCTCACAGCTTGGGGACCAGGAAAGACCCCGTCTCTCTAGGCCCCACCCCCAGCAGTGTTTCCCAGGGTGGGTCCCAAGAGGCACATGAAGCAGTGAGAACTCCTAGACAGTGCCAGCTACTCAAGAGGCTGAGGCAGGAGGATCCAAAGTTCCAGACCAACTGGACAATATAAGACTTTTTTGTAAAACAAACGAGTAAGGGCTGGGACCTCACCAGTCCCGAGTTTAAATCCCCAGCACCAAAAAAAGAAGAGCGGGGCGGGGGGAATTCTTAAACAAGGCTCCTGAGCAAACCTGGGACTCTGGCACCAGAACAGCTGGCTTGAAAGAGCTCTTGCATCCCTTTGTCACCACAAGGGACCTCTTCCTAGTTACACAAACACACCCTTGCACTGCCCCATCCAGCGATCTAGGGACAGCACAGCCTCTCCCTTGGCAGGAGCTGACGGCTAGGAGGGCCCTGGGCTCCACAGCTCCCAGTGAGTGCCAGTTTTAGCGACAGTCCCTGCCGGGAGCCGCAGGCATTGGGCGCAGGCACAGGCAGCCTTTCCTGACCTTGCTTGCGGCTCCGCCCCAACCCCAGCCCACCTGGCTGCCCACTTTCCTCCACAGCCTCACAGGCATTTTCCCAACACTGCCGAGCTCAGGATGTGGGTGCTGGAGGGAAAGAAAAGGCAGGGGCTGCGCCAGACAGGGCCAGCTCCTCTCAGGCCCACTTACGCATGGCTGCTTCCTTTCCCTGGCTGGGAAGGGTGCTGCACTCCAGGCCCGTCGCGGGCTCTCAGGCCCATCGATTGCCCTCTTAATGGTCTCGAGCCTCTGCACTGAGAGTCTGTAGAGAGGCCCATGGGAGGGAGCGTGTGTGAGTGGTGAGGCAGGGTCGGAGCAGGGAACTGGACAAAGTGGGTCAGAACGTGGGGAGCCCGGGCCTCCAGAGCCCCGGGGAGGCAGATGGACAAGGTGGAGGTGCAGACAGCCGAGCTCCACCATGCCCGCGTCAGAGGAGAAGTAAAAGCCGGTGCCAGCCCGCACCTGCTGCAGGCCACAGCTCTCCACTGCTCCCCAGCCGTGCCCAGGTTCACCCCGCTGACCTGGACAGGGACCACAGCCCTAACCTGACCCTAAGGCCAAGAAAGGAATCTGCCTTTCCTCTCTGCAGAGGCTTGGACAGAAAAGAAGCAGCAGGAGAGACTGAGGTTGGGTGGGTAGAGGGACTGCCTGGCAGGGACAGTGCCCAGCTGTGTGAGAGGCCTCCTCCCCATGCACAGGCCACTAGAAGCAGCCTGGGCTGAGGCCTGATGTGTGTGCTGGCCTCCTGAGTGAGAGAGCTAAGCGGGGAGGCAGCCAGAGCCTGGGGGCTGTGCTCATCAGCTTGGTGACAGATGGCCTTCAAGTATCCTGAAAAGGATCGGCTGGAGCCAAGCGCAGTGGTGCAAGTCTGTCATCCCAGCACTCACAGAGGCTGAGGCAGGAAAATTTCAAATTCTAGTCCAGTGTAGGCAATTTAACAAGATGCAATTTCAAAATTAAAAAAAAAAAAAGATACAGGGAATGTAGCTCAGTAGCAGAGTGCACATGGATTTGATCCCAAATCACACACACACACACACACACACACACACACACACACACACACACATCATGCCTATAATGCCAGTACTTTGGAGGCAGAGGCAAGAGGATTACAAATTCAAGTCTATCCTGGGGCAACTTAGGGATTCAGCAAGATCTTTTCTCAAAATAAAAAGGACTGGAGATTCAATTCCCAGTATTGGCAGAAGAGAAAGAAAAGAAAAGGAGAGAAGAGGAAAGGGCAGGACAGGACAGGATAGGACAGGACAGGACAGGTCAGGACAGGACAGGACAGGACAAACTCTGGGCAGACAGTGAGCTAACCATGCACATAGTGGAGAACCATGCTTCTTCTCCTAGCAGTATGGGGCGGGCAGATGGGGACTTGGGGCCAACAGAGCCCAGGCCATGCTGCAGTGGGGGGCCCCTCTCAAGGACACAGTAATCTGACAGGCTGGGTCACACCGATGCCCTCTGGAAGAGAACCCACACTCCCACCCCGCCGCATAGTCGTCCACACAGGACCGCCTCCCTCACACGTACCGCCCACTGTGTATGCCACAGCCTCTCCCGGAGATGGAATACAACGGCAATCCTGACTCAGTGGGCTACAAGATCAAGTACAGCAGGTCGGACGGTCATGGCAAGACCCTGAGCCATGTGGTGCCGGACCGTGTGGAGCGGGAGTACACCATCGAGGACCTGGAGGAGTGGACGGAGTACCGCGTGCAGGTCCAAGCCTTCAACGCCATCGGGAGCGGGCCTTGGAGCCCCATGGTGCTTGGCAGGACCCGGGAGTCAGGTACCCCCACCGTCTCCACACTCAGGCTGCCCAGGGATGCATGGGGCTGGACCTGTTGTCCAAAAACAGCCTGCGCACTTCCTCTGCGCTCAGCCCAGGGCAGAGCATTCTGCCCCAATACCACGTCCCTCGGTGCCTGCCCATCCCTGGGTCTGTCCCCACCATCGGCATGAGGTCATTTCCATGGGGTGGCCAGGCAGTCTGCCTTCCTCCTGCCCTCAGCTGTAAACCTGAAGGAGGCTGAGATAGAGGTTTGGGGTAAGGCATTGCTCTGAGAACATTCCAGAAATATGTCCTAGCACTCAGGCAGCCCTCCTTTGTCCACACGTGGTTTGCTGTCCTGTGGCTTCTTGCTGGCACCTTTTAAATTCAGGCTGCCTCCTTGGTTCCCCAGCCCCACTGGAAAGCCCGAAGTCAACACAGGAGGGCGATTTGCCTTGGGGGGACCGTCCACGCTTTCTGCCAAGGAGCAGGCAACACGGGGCTGCCTCCCGCCTGAGCCCCTGGTCTGCTGCTCGCCTCCCTCCACGGGAGGACCGGCCATGGGTCCTCAGCTTCTCCTCCTCGATCCCTCTTCCCCCGCAGTCCCGTCCTCTGGCCCCACCAATGTGTCAGCGCTGGCCACCACCTCCAGCAGCATGCTCGTGCGCTGGAACGAAATCCCCGAGGCTGATCGCAACGGGCTCGTGCTGGGCTACAAGGTGAGTTCCTGGAGGAGGAGCGCAGGGTCCCTGCACTGGCTCCCCCATCCTCCTAAGAACACGGTTGTCACCCTCTGGGTCTCTTCCTCCTCCAGTGGACACGGGATCTGCCTGGCTTCCCATCTTCCAGTCACCACCGAAACCAGGGAGGCCTCCACAGGGGCAGGGAGGCCTCCAGTGGGTTCCTGGAGGGGGACCTTTGGGGCTGCTCCAGCAATTCCAGGTGGCCCCCGCCTCCCATATAGCTCTGATGGGCCCCGTCCTAGGTTTTGTATTGGTCAGTTTTCATTACCATAGTAAAATACCTGGCACAGGCTAACGTAAAGAGGTTTGTTTAGCTCACCATAGAGGAGGCTCACAGACACGGTGCCTGCACAGGCTCAGCTCTGGTGAGGGCCCTGTCAGCTGTGTCCCATCATGGTGAACGACAGTGACAGCTTGCGTGGAGAAGTGATCCCACCTCACATCTGCAGACAGGAAGCCAGGGAGAACTGAGTGGGGCCAGCCCGGCTCAGGTCTCTGTGACAACCCAACCCACTCTTGGGAAATCACAAGGGGTCAGATGAGAATTACTTAATCGCTCCCACAGTTAGGACCCCCATAACCTGGCGAGAGGCCCCACTTTTCCAGGTTACATCAGCTCCCACATCTAAGAACCAAGCTCCCCACACACGGACCCTCAGGGGGAAAAGCAAAATCCAGACCATAGCTGTTTCATCCTCTTCTAAAATTGTTCATAAATCTGTGCCTCACCACCTGGTCCAGCCCCGGCCTGGAAGCTAGGAGACAGGGGTTGATGCGGCATCAGTCCTAGGTGTGTGACCTTCAGCAAGTCACACTCCCTCTCGGAGCCCTTCTTCTCTCCTGGGTGCTCTCTGAGAGATCTTCCAGCTCTACAGCTGGGTCCGTCTTTGTCCCCAGTCCTCCGGGTACATGAGCTATGCAGCTACCCCACCACCACCATCCCCTTGGGACAAGCCAGACTATCCAGATGAGGCTCAGAACAGGTACTGTCATAGCGAGACCCGGCCTGAGGCCTCTCCCATGCTCGTCCCGGCAGGTGAGGTACAAGGAGAAGGACTCCGACTCCCAGCCCCGTTTCTGGCTGGTGGAAGGCAATGCATCTCGCAGCGCGCAGCTCACCGGCCTGGGCAAGTACGTGCTGTACGAGGTGCAGGTGCTGGCCTTCACGCGCATCGGCGACGGCAGCCCCAGCCACCCCCCCATCCTGGAGCGCACGCTGGACGATGGTGAGTCCGCTTCCAGAGGGCCCAGGGCCACCGGAGGGGCTCCCACGGTAGACAGATCACTAGGGAACACCAGCCCCACTGCACAGCCTGTGGGTCCCTACGGAAGACGGGACAAGGGAAGAACTGGACATCCTATCTCATCTCTTGATCTCTCTCCGGGACAAGTGTACAGAGCGGGAACTTAGCAGGAGTTTTGATTTCTTTCTCTCCTGGGGCAAGTATGCATTGGGTAAAGTTTGTGAAAAGGAAAAAGCCTTGATTTTTATTTTCCTGAGCATGAGCTCCTTGGCCCTGCTTACAAAATGGGCAAGGCATGGTAGTGCACATTTGTAACCCCAGCACAGCGGGAGGCTGAGGCAGGAGGATGGCAAGTTCAAGCCCAGCCTGGCTCACATAGTGACTTAGTGAGATCCTGATTCAGAATTAAAAAAGGGATGGGGCTGGGGATTTAGCTCAGTGGCACAGCGCCTGCTTGGCAAGCGCAAGGTCATGAGTTCAATTTCCGGTACTGGGGTACCGGGGGGAAAAAAAAAAAAAAAAAAGAATAAAAAAGGGCTGGCGGTGTATCTTAGTGTGAAAACCCTGGGTTCAATCTTGGTACCAGAAAAAACGAGGGGGACAGCAGACAAGCAGCAGCATCCATTGCTAAAGCAGAGCTCCTGGTCACAAGCTGACTGGTAGGTCCTCTCCCTTCCTCATTGCCCACATTTGCAAGGTCCAGACAAGAGTGCAGAAAGAACCCAAATACCGCATGTCTGTATATTCTAAAGTCATAAATCAGCTAATGAACTGTTAAATTAAATATGTCCTACCCTCATGTCTTGACAAATACATCCAAGTATCTTGGCCCAGAAGGCCAAGTTCAAGCTTAGGCATCTCAGACTTCTTAGCAATCTGTGCAGCAAGGAGGAGCCCCACCTGGCCACAGCCCCCTTTCCACCCTTCCTCTCCTGCACATCATTCAGTCCCCATCCACCTCCTAAACAGCCGCTGCTGGCCATCCCCGGGTCCAGGGGCACACAGTCTGCCCTTGAGAGGGATCTGGGTAACTGGTCCCTGCAGATCCTGACAGTGTGCTTCAGCTGTCTGGGCTGAATTCCAGGACTCCAGGATTCCGGAGCGAAGTCTAGGGCACACAGGCTGGGGTGGGCGAGGCATTACCCCATAGCCATTTCACACGGTGGCGGGGAAGACCTCAGAGCAGGGCCTTCTAAAGCATGAACACAGGGCAGGGCCCATTTACCAGGTACTGAGAGTGCGAACGCAGACACTGAGCCCAAATAATGCCTATAATGAGGACAGAAACTTCATCCTACCTTCTAGTTTCTGTGAAAAAGCCCCTGCTCTGAGGGAGTAAATCTCATGGATTTCACATTTGTGCCCCTGGCTCCTAACACAGTGCCAGGCATAGAGCAGCATTCCATGAAGGTTCATTGAACTGGAATGAGTCACCCTCCCCTCCACTGGGCTGCCCTGCTGGAGGGCATCAACCACACCATCAGCCTCTCCTCCTTTGTCCCCTCCAGTCCCAGGACCACCCATGGGCATCCTGTTCCCAGAAGTGAGGACCACCTCAGTGCGGCTGATCTGGCAGCCCCCGGCTGCCCCCAACGGCATCATTCTGGGTAAGCCCAGGCCTTTCCCGCGTTCTGCCTGCAGGAAGGAGGGGGAGCCAGAGGGTGTAAAGGGCACAGAGAAGGTCCAAGAAGTGTCCACATGTCCTTCAGAGTCGGATCTGGGGCTCAGTCCTCCTGCTAGAAGTTTCAGGCTAGGGCTGGGGATTTAGCTCAGCGGCACAGCGCCTGCCTGGCAAGCGAAAGGTCATAAGTTCGATTCCTGGTACCGGAAAAAAACAAAAAAAAGTATCAGCCTATAACATTATGCGCTGGATGGCAAGGTCAAGTTCAGATCCCTTAAGGACCCTTGGCTGGCTTCATGCCTCTGAATGCCCCAGTGCCCAGCCAGATGCCATCTCATAAACCCCACTGCTGTTCCTTAGTGTAGTCAAGTGGGGGCACACCGGCCAGCTCAGCATAGCCTCGCTCACTGCTCAGAAGCAGCTGACATGCAAGGAGAGATCTGAGGACAAGAAGCTTCCGCCCCAACATACACACCCAGCCTGAAGGCAGCTGCTGCATGAACTTGAGCAAGTCTGCTTCTCCCACAGCCTCTGCCTCTCAGCTTTAAAATGATAGCACGGGGGCTAGGGATTTAGCTCAGCGGCACGACACCTGCTTGGCAAGCGCAAGGTCATGAGTTCGATTCCCGGTACCAGAAAACAAACAAACAAACAAAAAAATGATAGCATGGTGTGATGATGAGCATGATGGGGTGGCCAGGTGCAGTGATGTACACTTATTGTTCCCAGCTACACAGTAGGGTGAAGCAGGAAGATCACAAGTTCAAGGACAGCCTGGGCAAAATAGTGAGCAAAACTCCAGGTCAAAACATTTTTAGATAAAATAAAATAAAGAATACACACACATGCACACATGCATGGTGGCTGGGATGACCGGTACCTGTTCTGGCCTCTTGGTCCATGCCAGCCCTAGGTAAATACCACGCCTTGGAAGACAGTAGATGGTGAAAGTCATGTGCTTTAGATTAGAATAACCCGGGTTGGGATTCCAGCTCAGTCACTTTCTAGCAGCTGGCCTGGCCTCTCCTAGCATCCCTCTTCTGACCTTGGGCCGATGTGGAGGTCACTGTGCATGCAGCCCCTGCCCGGGCCCCTCAGCAGCCCATACTCCCCAGGGGACGGAGGAGCTGTAGGAGTGACAAACCACAGCCAAGGCAGGAGCCGCTTGCCCTGCTTTCTGTCTCCACCCTTTCGCTTTCTGCCTCCCAGCTTACCAGATCACACACAGACTCAACGCCACCACGGCCAACACCGCCGCAGTGGAAGTGCTGGCACCAAGCGCCCGCCAGTACACGGCCACCGGCCTCAAGCCTGAGTCTGTCTACCTGTTCCGCATCACGGCTCAGACCCGCAAAGGATGGGGGGAGGCCGCCGAGGCCTTAGTCGTGACCACGGAGAAGAGAGGTGACAGGCCACGGGAGCTGGGGCGGTCTGGGAGGCTGAGGCGAGGGGCATTCCCAGTAATCCAGGAGCTGGAGCCTCTGCTATTGGGAGGTTGGTTATGAGTCAGGTTGCCCTGGTCTAGAATGGAAAGTGGAATGTAGACTCCAACCTCTGGAGCTAAGGTCAGCGCGGGGTCTGTAGACCTGAGACTGAGCTGGGAGTTCCCCTCCCATTCTGGGAGTTCCCCTCCCTGGGATCCCATTCTGCTCTGGCTTTCTAACAGAAGATCGGCGATCACCTCCTACCTCTGGCTTTGTCCAGGTGAGTGAGGCTCAGAGTTACAGCCTGGGGTCTTGGCTGCCACTCCCTGCTAGCCCCGCGTTGGAGCTGGGGTTCCACAGAGCAACCCTGAGGCCTCTGCTTGGTGTGAAAGTGATTTGTTGGAAAACATCCCCAGGAAAAGCCAGCAGGATGCTAGCTGTCACAGCTTGGGGAAGGTGTTACAGACACTGAGTAGGCAGAGGTCAGGCAGGAGCAAAGGCACTGGGGCATTTATACCTCCTCACCATGATGCCTGACTTGGGCTGCATGGGGACTCCTGGCACCTGAGACTCTAAGAGCCTCAAGGTCAGCAATCAGAGACCAGGAGACAACGTGCCGGCTGCTAAGGGTGAGACCAGCAAGGCCCCCATGTGCACCGGAAGTGGGCTGAGGAGGGGGGCACCACGCCTGAGCCCCTCCTTCCCCTCCGAGAAGCTCCACCCCCTCCTGCACCCTAGCTCAAGCTTCACAGCTCCCCTGCGCCTCCCTCCCCAGACCGCCCTCAGCCCCCCAGCAAGCCTGTGGTGCAGCAGCAAGACGTGAAGGCGCGAAGCGTGCTGCTGTCCTGGGAGCCGGGCAGCGACGGGCTGTCCCCCGTGCGCTACTACACCATCCAGACCCGCGAGCTGCCCAGCGGCAGGTGGGCGCTGCACTCGGCCTCCGTGAACCACAACGCCTCCAGCTTCACTGTGGACAGGTGAGGCAGCGTCCGCGCCAGCGTCTCACACCTTCCCCAGCCGGGATGGGCACAGCCGAAGCCCCCTCCTGGGGGAAGGGAGCCTTCTGAGAACCCCACAGCCTGGTCCGCTCCTCCTCAGCTCCCACCCTAAAGGCGTCGCTCCCCCTCTCCAGGAACCCCATTAGGGCTGCCTCTTAATTATAGCTGGAGCCTAGTGTTCCCCCTCTAATGAAGCGCTCGCCATCCTTCATTAGGGATTCTCCCCAGCCAGCCGCCAACTTCCTCCCGTCTTTAATGGGGGAGCAGCGCTTCACTCCGAAACTCTGGCTTCAATTTAATTCCTGGCGGTTGTATTTTTTACATTCCAGTTGACGTGACCCGAAGTTTGAGCAATCCTTTCCTCCCTGCTCTCCCAGCCCCCATAAATCAAGAAGGAAGGATTTTGCTGGGAGAGGAAAGGAAGCTGAGAGAGACAAGTCTGGTTCTCTCCTGGGAACTTCTGCCCTCTGAAGTTCACTAAATTCAGGAAGGGAGGGGCAGCTTGCAAAGGGAGACTCAGGGAGCCAAGTCTGGGTGCTTTTGTGACCGCCTGGCCTCTGAGGTAGAACCTGGGTGGACATGTCTCCCTGAGGACATGTGGCGGCTAAAAACACCCCAGAGGAATGACCCAGGGGCGTGGCCTGGGGACTCAGGACCCCAGGGCCTGACCCCAGGTGGATCCTCGTGTAGCAGGGCACTTTCTGAGCCTGGATCTGTGTGGTGGGTCAACACCCCCGCCGCCCTTTCCCAAGCAAGGATAGATCGATGGGACCCCATGGCCGAGGCAGGGAACAGGATCGTTTGGGACATCTGCTCATAGGACCCACTTCCCTCCACAGGCTGAAGCCCTTCACATCCTACAAGTTCCGAGTGAAGGCAACCAATGACATCGGAGACAGCGAGTTCAGCGAGGAGTCCGAGTCGCTCACCACACTGCAGGCTGGTCCGTGTGCCTCCCCTCTGGGAACTGGGGAAAGATGCCTCCAAGTGTGAGAGGGCTCTGGGGTCCTGGGCCCTTCTCCTCCAGGACACAGTCCTTGGGAGGCTTGGGCCACAGCAGCCCCTCCAGGGGCTCAGGACCCTAGACCCGGCCTGGCGTTCAAGTGTGTCACTGACATACCACAGGCTCCCGGGGAGTAGATGGGCAGCCAGAGAGGCCTGTGGCTGGGACCCTTGGGTGTGGCCAGGATTTTGGTCTCTCCCTCCACGCTGGCCCTTTGTCCCGTAGAAGTTGGGTTGCTGAGCATACAGGGTGACAGAGAGGGGTCTGCCTGTCAGTCCCGAGTCAGCAGAACCTGGCCCCATGGGCTCTGGCTGGGCTGGATCTCCAGCACCCAGGTCCCACCTGCCTGCCTCTCTCTACAGCCCCTGACGAAGCACCCACCATCCTCTCTGTGACACCCCACACCACCACCTCCGTGCTGATCCGATGGCAGGTAGGCCGGGCTGGCGGGATGGGCCCACCTCCCCTCAGGACTCAAACAGGCTGTGCTCTGCGATCAGAAAGCCAACAGACCCCAACGGGGCTGCCTGGGCCCCTGAGAACAAACAGAAATGCATGAGACATCCAGGCGTGCACATTATGGAACACTGCACACACGTGTGCACACACCTGTTCTACTCCCCAAAGAATCACATGTGGCAGGTGCCACCCCCTCCCCTGCTGCAGATGAGGACAGAGACGTAGGAGGGGATGTGCACTGCCCCAGGGAGCACAGCTCTGTGAGGGGCAGGGTCAAGTTCATCAAGTCAGGTCTACTGAATCCTTGGGAAGAAGAGCGCTTGGGAAGCCAGGGCCCCCTGAGTCCCCACGAAGCCCAGACCTAGGCTGTGCCCATCAGTGAGACTGGGAACCCATCACTCAGGTAAAGAAATGAGTTCTTCTGTCCTCCAGCTGCCGGCTTCCTGGTAGTCAGGGCCTGCTCTGCAGGGGCCTGGGGAATGAGCACAGACAACCTCAGAGCCCAGGCCTCCCAGGTACCCTGCCCTTCACCGCGCTCCCGCGCCCTGTGCTGCCGACACACAGCTCTGGTGAAGACACCTTCTTAAGCAGAAATGACCTGGACACCAGGGATGCTGGAGTCCACGGGGCTGACCTGGAGAGGGGGCAGGGCGATGCCTGCAGCAGCCAGGGAAGCAATTAAGGAGCTAATAAAAGGCTGAACCGTTTCTGCAGGTTTTTTTAAAAGAGGCTTCATAAAAGGTAGTTCCCAGCTTCCCCCGAAGCTGCTCTTCAACGCAGCTCTGGACGGGAGAAGAAAGCAAAGGAGAGAATGATAGGCAGAAGCGTGAGCAGACGCACTCGCCTGGTATATGCTGAAGAGCAGCGAGAGGGCATCGCTTACAGAAAGTGTAGGAAGCGTTGGCCAGGGGGCAAGCAGCACCCAAGGGTCTGGGGAGGCTGGAGATGAGGTGGTAGGGTTTCTAGACAAAGCCCAGCTTGTGCGTTAGGGTTGAACATCTGAGCTCCATGGGTGCTGTGTGACCAGGGCCAAGTGCCTTACTGTCTCTGAGCCTGCTCAGAGCTTTCTACTCTGTTGAGGAGGATGCCATGGTGATTCCTGCCCTTCTCCCCCTCCCAGGGAAGGCTGCAGTGATGCAGCAGCCTTATTGGAAATGCTTTGTGGGTTAACGATGCTTCTGGTTTCCCTGCTTTCTTCTCCTGGTGGTGATTCAAGCACTGCTCTGGGGCCACAGGAGGCAGATGGGGAGAAAGGGTGGAGCGGGGTGACCACAGTCCAGGGCTGCTCTCTATATCTTACCCGATTCCCTATAGCCACCAGCCGAGGACAAGGTCAACGGCATCCTCCTGGGCTTCCGCATCCGGTACCGGGAGCTGCTCTACGAAGGGCTGAGGGGCTTCACTCTTCGAGGCATCAACAACCCCGGAGCCAAGTGGGCGGAGCTCACCTGTGAGTGGCACTCACCTCCCTACTCCGGAGCGCCCAGCTTCCTGGAGTTCCCTAACCCGCAACCCTGCCTGCCTGCATGTGCCTCCCCCATGCCACTCAGCTGCTGGCTGAGCGTTTGCTCCGCACATTCTGCACGCCCCAGTCTCCCTGGGGGCCACCAGCAACCAAGCCAGCAGCATCCCTGCCCTCTAGGAGTGACCTCTAAAGCCACTGGCCACTGAGGGAGGGGCTCCAGGAAGACCCAAACCAGGGGCAGAGAAGGATTCCGTAGCATTGGCACCAACACAAGGATGGGTCCAGATTCCCCCACGCAGGGACGAGGAGAGCTCAGCGTGTGAGAAGGAGCTGCCTGCGCTTGAGAGACCAGCAGCCTCCAAGGCCAGGTTTCCCCCAGGGAGGAGCATTTGAGGCTTCTCTCCTTGCTCGAGTACTCAGTTCTCTGTCTGGGGGCCTAGGAATCCAGTCTGCCACCATACGGAAGGAAAGTTCAGGGAGCCCCAAAAATCCAGGGAAGGTCCTGGCTGGACGTTTGGGTTAGAACACTTCGGTGGCCAGGGGCTGATGGCTTGGCCAAGGTTCCTGGGAGACATGAGGCAGGGAGGCCCGTAGGAGGCTGAGCCCGGGGGCAGCCTGGGGATGGCATCCAAGGCCAGTTTGGGAGCAGACACACCATGGGCAGCGACTCTGAAGGGTTCTGCGTTGGTTGACGGACGAGAGAGGGAAGCAGGCAGGGTAGAGGGGAGCTCAGAGCACTCGGGCGCCCCCTCTCCACCACGCTGCTCCTGCCCATCCTTCTCGAAAGACTCTGCGCCTTGTCTTCAGGCAAATGCGCGCAGGCAACAAAATGATTGAACGAGTCGCAAAGGTTTATTAATAGAAAAACTCGGAAGTACTTGATCCAACAGCGTACGTTATTTTCTTATATTTATTTTTTATTTTTTGCCGGCATGTGCTGGTGGTTGTGATTTTATACAGCCGGTGTGTAATACAGTCATATTTCCTGGTAGTAAAATTGTTTCTGGTTCATATGAGGAATTTAATGACTCCAGTATTTCACGGTGGTTTTCCAGGGGCTTCCGCCTTGAGACAAGGGAGTGAGTTGGGGCTAGACGATCTCGCAGAGTTGCCCCAGGATTCTCGGGCTCTTGGGGGCTCCCTATGACCTTGGGCCAGCGCACACCTGGAGGGGGACAGTGGTGTCCTGCAGCTGCCTCTCCCCCACCCACCCCTCCGCTCCCATCCTGACCCCCAGCTCAGCACCAGGAATCTGGAAACTCTCTCCCCTGCCTGCTCAGTCACCAGCCCCCCGCACCCCACCCCTCCGCACCCAGTGGGGGGCTTCTGTGGGGGGCTGTGTGTGCACTAACCACTTCTGTCTGCTGTCTCCCCCTGCTGCCTCGTGCTGCCCCACCCCAGCCCTGTACTCCATGCGGAACCTGAGCCGGCCCAGCCTCACGCAGTACGAGCTGGACAGTAAGTCTCCTAGCATGGTGGCCCCGCTGCAGCCCAAGCCTCCTGGGGAGCAGGAGTGGGTCCTTCAGGATACCCGCCCCCGGCTCAGGGGTGCACCTGACGTAGGACTCAGACACACCAAGCAAGGGCAAATTCCAGCAAGCCTCCTCCAAGTGTGGCCTGTGCGGGGTGTGTGTAGAAAGGGAGCCCACAGCTTTATGCGGGGAGGGGGTCTACAGTGCGTGCTGTTGGGCAGTCCAGGTGGGCAGGCAGGCATCTGAGTAGCTGCTCCTGCTCTCACCATACCAAAGGCACGGCCTGGCCCAGCTGTGTCTTCCTGTCCCGGGCCGTTTGAGCCGTGAGCGCTGGGTGAATCTGCTGGATAACCTTGTCTTCCCATAGCGCATCCCTGTACAGCTCACCCTGACCTTGCTCTATTTCTGAAGCCCTAGTGGGTCCTCCCCATGGCCCAGGGCTCAGCTCAAAGGCTTCAGCTCAGGAAAAAGCCACATGAGTTCAAGTCTAAATTATTCACCTCCTTCCCGCTCAACTGGCATCCACAGGCTGCACAGCCAACCGGCTGGGGTGGCTCCCTCACTGTGTCCTGTCCAAGGCTAGAGCTTCCACCCTGAGGAGGAGGAGGGGGAGCCGGGGAGAGAAGGGTGCAGAGGGTGGGGGACTCTGGACAGTCAGAACGGAAGCATCCGGGGCTACAAGGTGCAGGATGCTTTAGCAAAACAAGGGGCACGGAGGGGCAAGGAGCCACGCTGGGGGTTAGGTGGTGGGTAAGGTCCCAAGCCCTTCCTCTTTCCAGAAAGAGATGCTTTCCAGATGCTTTTTACTCAGCCACAGCAGGGACTGCATCTCCCACCTGGGGTGCCCAGATCCCCTTCTTGGCCCACTTCTATCCCCAAGCTTCCTCCAGGCGTCCTGCCCCAAGCACCCCAAACTTAGTGATGCGTGGGGCTTTTTAACCCAGAATTCACATCTAACAAGCTCCCTGCCCTCCAGGGTCAAGCACCCCTGTGAAAAGAGCTGGGGGACTAGGAGAGCAGCTCAGAGGTACAGCACATGTTTAACATACAAGAGTCCCTGGGTTTAATCTCCAGAACCCAAAAAATTAAATTAAAATTAAATAAAATAAGAGTCGGTTAATGGGGACAGGCTGGGACAAGGCCGGGAACACTCCCATCTGCCATGGTAGGAAGGAAGACCGGCAGAGAGGGTCTGATGGTCCCGCCTGGGATCCGTAGGACAGTTCAGGTTTACACCAGCTGTCCCAGCATAAATGCTAAGAGTGCCCCTTTGGTCTGAAAAGCACCCCCTTGGACAGTACATTGTGTGGTCACCCAAACCCTGGAGGCCAACCAGCTGCAGCACCTCATGTCCAGGTTGGCTGGGTGGGAGGCTGAGGGTCCCTCCCGGCACCACCTCTGACCTGTCCTCTGCTGAACCTTCACACAGGGGACTGGAGCTGCAGGGCCACCTCACCGTGCCCACTGCCTCCAGCCAGTCTCCACGGGGCTCTGACCACAGGGGCAGTGACCTCCGTGTCCCTCCTGCCCCTCTCTCGCCCACAGATCTGAACAAGCACAGGCGCTACGAGATCCGGATGAGTGTGTACAACGCCGTGGGCGAGGGCCCGCTGAGCCCCCCGCAGGAGGTCTTTGTCGGCGAGGCGGGTGAGCGCTGCCTGTGGGAGTCCAGCCTGTCCCAACCCCACGAGGTCCACCCAGGGGAGACAGGAGGTTCAGATCCCAGTGCACCCCACCCTCTCCCCAGATCTACTCACTCACCATCCTCTGTGCCCCTCAGTGCCCACAGCAGCGCCCCGCAACGTAGCCGTCCACGGCGCCACGGCCACACAGCTGGATGTGACTTGGGAGCCGCCCCCTCTGGACAGCCAGAACGGAGACATCCAGGGCTACAAGGTATGGGCGCTCTGGCAGAGTGCAAGGTGCAGAGGGGCTGGGCTGGGGTCGTGGGGATGGGGAGCGTCCCCCTCTTCCCCCTCCCGGCCGGGTACAGGCCCCGCGGGCCCCGCGGTGAGCTTGCCGCCCTGGCTGTCTGCACCCAGGTCACACAAATACGGTGCTCAAGTAAATTACGCTCATCTTCTCCAGGGTCCCATGAGCAGTCTAGGATCAGGTGCCAGAAACTCTGTGTACCTCAGTTTATAACACCGCTGAGCAGCACACACCACCCCCTGAATGCCAGTCCCTTACATAATTTAAGACTCCCTCCAAGGGCGCCCCCTAGTGACAATACTGGTACTGAATAGATGGCTGACTAGCAAAGCTCTGCTAGCTCATTGGAAATCTCTGCTTAAAACCATTTCTAGACTTTGGGGTAAGGCATGGGTTATGATGGGGTACAGTTCAACTGTCGTATTTACAAAACCCTCTGGAACTCTTCAATCCTTTTGAAAGCCGTGGAGAGCTATAGGTTATGGGCTTTGAGGCCCATTATACAGATGAGAAAACTGAGACCCAGTTTAGGTATTCTGACAAAGCCACAAAACAGCAGGTAGCAGAATCCAGACCTTCTGGCTCCCCTGCCAGGGCTGGGGAGGAGGCCGAGCACACAGTCACTAGAGGTCATGTAAGACAGAGAAAGGAAACAGCTGGGGGGAGGGAAAAAAGTGAAAGCTGGAGAGGTGGCACACACCTATAATCTCAGCATTCTGGGAAGCTGAGGCAAGCGGAGCGTGAGGTCGAGACACTGTCTCAAAATTTAAAAAACATTGAAGAGGACTGGGGGTGGAGCTTAGTTTGGAGACCCTGGGCTCAATCCCCAGTACCGCAAGAAACAAAAACAAGAGAAAGAAAAAGGAACTTGTCGCGCTGTCTGGAGCACATTTCCTGGCCCGAGCCAGGGTCCCTGGGACTCTGATTCCTAGCAGCTGCACGTTATTGCAGAGAACAGACCCCGTACCTGGCCGGGGGTCGGGGCGGAGGTGACCGCACAAGGACCTGTGGTTTCGCTGGCTCGGCCGCTCAGCCCACGGAGGGAAACTGATTCAGCAAAGGCGAACCACACGCTATTAGGACAGGCAGCCCCGGCGAAGGCAGGATCCAGCACAGGAGCCTCTTTCATCTGGGGTGCAAGGGAGGGAAGGAGGAGGCGTCGTCTTGCTTAGGACTCTGAAGACAGTAACACCCTCAAGACTTTGCCCAGGAGCGCCAGCTGGGAAAACTAAATATTGCACCCCTAGCATATGCCTCCCAAGGGAGGGAAGGCGCCCGCGGAGCCTGCGATGGTTTGGCAGCCACCAGCTTGTCAAGGTTTGAAAGTTGCAAGTTAATATACAGATCCAGGAAATGTGTGGGTGCGCAGAACAGAGACGGCTACGTGATCCAGAACACATCGTCTGTACAGAGCCGTGGCTAGGGATGTGAACCAGGGAAGCAGAAACGCCGCCTCGCGGTCTTACGTTAACATCAGCATTCACCCCGTTAACGCCGGGGGGGGGGGGGCGTCATCAGGCAGCGACCACCGCTGAAGTGACGCCGCCTTCGGGCCGGGCTGAGCTGCAGCGTGCCTGGTGACGCACTGTGTGCAATCCCAGAATCCGGCCTCTCGGTTACTCAATGACACATGTTTACTGAGCAATTATTTTGTGCCCTCCACTAGTTGCAGTGCTGGGAATAAAGCAGTGAGCAAAAAGACAACATGAGCGAAAATTTTAGGGGAAAGGTTAACAATTTACGAAGTAAGTCATATTGCCAGATGGTGGAGTAAATGAAGGAGGTGAGCAGAGAGCTAGACACAGGCTTGAAATTTTAAAGAGAGTTGTTAGAAAAGGGCTACAGGGAAAGGTGATATTTGAGCCAAAACCTAAATAAATACCGAGCCTGAATCACATGAATCCAAAAGAACATTCTAGAAAGCGGGAAACGAAAAGCAAAGGTCCTGGGGTAGGTCAGTGTTTTCCAGTGTAGCCAAGCCAGCAAAAAGCCCCAGCTCACCCTGGGGAAGCATGATGGGCAGAGAGCGGCCAGAGCCCCGGGAGCCCTCGGGCTTTGGCCTCTACTCCGAGGGAAGGCGTGGGCGGAAGAGAGGCACCACGGAGGACGTGGCCCTCCTCAGGCTCACGCTGTTTGCTGTGCTGCCTTCAGTCTGAAGAGGGGAAATCACAGAAAGCCGATCTCAGCTGCCCAGCAGTGATTCAAACTGCGGAGAAGGCGTTGCCCTGGGGTCACAGGTTAAAGGTCAGCTCCAAGGTCAAGAAGCAACCGGAAATGGAGCTGCCTGCTGTGAGGCAGGAAGGGGAGGAGGAAACCGAGGCAGATCTGACTCTTCATGTGGGCGTCAGGAGGGAAGGTCTTGGGCACAGCCGTGGACTGTGGGGAGCTCAGCTGACAGACGCTGCCGAGAGCCACAGGAGTAGACAGACAGACAGACAGTGAGAGGAGCTGAAACCTGAGCCTTGGGAGTAAGACAGGTGCGCGATGACGGTGACCCACAGTACAAAAGACCGCACTTCTGGAACGAGGGGAGAGTCGGATGCCAATTCCAGGAGGGACGCGGTGGGAGGCAATCTGGGAAGCAATTATGCCGGCTGTTCAAAGAAACTTACAACCAATCTGGTTTTGCCGGCCTAAAGTGGCTCTAATTAAGATCCTAAAATCAGGACTAATAATTAACTTCAGTGGGGGACTGCCACACGGAAGCCCACTGGCCTAACTGGCCTTCCATCTTTCTGTAAATAAAGTTTTTTGGAGACACACCCATGCCTGTTTATGAGCTGCCCGTGGCTGCTTTTGCACAAGGGTAGAGTTGACCTGGATGGTGGTATACACCTGTAATCCCAGCTACTCAGGAGGCTGAGGCAGGAGGATCACAAATTCAAGGTCAGCCTGGGCAACTTGGCAAAAACCTTGTCTCAAAAATAAAAAGGGCTAAGGATGTAGCTCAGTGGTAAAGTATACCAGGTTCAATCCCCAGTACCCCGCTACACACACACACACACACACACACACACACACACACAAGGGACAGAGTGGAGTAGTTGCAGCAGAGACTTGGGGGTTGGCCTGCAAAGCCAAAGACATTAACTACCTACCCCTTTTTAGAAGAAGTTTGTGAAGCCCCGGAGATTGCATTAGTAATGTGGAGTTCACAGGAACTTGATGGGGAGGTGGGTACTGGAAAATGCAGGGAGCAGGTTTAACAGAAAAGACATGCAGTGTACAAAGGGCGTCTTAGGATGGGAGAAATCACAGCTTGTTTCTGTGCTGATGGAAACAATACCGGACGGAGGGAAAGTCTGGTGATTTGGCAAAGAGAGGGAGCTGTCGCGGAGCAACGAGGTGGAGGAGGTGAGGGGTGCACAGTTCAGCACACAAGTTCAGGGTGGCCCTACAGGGAGTGACGAGGCCAGCCATCGCGGCAAGAGGGAGGCAGCGGGTGTGGGCAGAGGGACAGGAGGCGACAGAGTCTCAGCAGATTGCTTCCATTTCCCAGCACAAATCCTCTCTAGGAATGAGGCTGAGGGACAAAGGGCGAGGCAAGAGAACGCAGAAATAACCCCACATCCCTCTTCCTTATCTGTGGGTTCCTCGGCCATGTATTCAGCCAAGTGAAGATCAAAACTATTCACTGGAAAAAAGTTGCGTCTGCACTGAACATGCGCATGCTTTGTTCTTGTTATTATCCCTTGGACGATAGATACGGCGTAACAACTACTGACAGAGCATGTACATTGCATGAGTGATTACTAGTCATCCAGAGATTACTTAAAATCTGTGGGAGGATCCCATCAGTTCTGTGCAGATCCTGTGCCCTTTGACATGGGGACCGGAGCATCCTTGGGTTTTGATAGCCCTGGGGGTCCTGGAAGCCGTCTCCCAAGGACGCAGGAGGATGGCTGTGTGCTGCTGTACAGCGCGTGGTCAAGAGCAGTGTGGCACACGAGCCTCTCACTGTGGGCTGTGCTCGTGAACTTATAGCTTGATTCTCCCACCGGCCAGTCAGCTGCGTGTCGTGTGGGCGGATTCTACTAGCATGGGAGCTCAGCTCATTGTGTAAGATGGAGCAAGACAGGTCAGGAACACGGGAAAGGTAGGAACACGATAAAGGGCACAGTCGGCAGAGGGAAGTGACAAGCTACAGAACAGTAGGGAATACTTGCAAGCCGTGCATCTGATAAAGAGTTAACAGCCAAAACACACAAGAAGCTCCTACAACTCCGTAGTGAGAAAAAAAAAACCTCAACATAAAAGTGGGACAGAGGACCCGAACAGACATTTCTCAAAAGAAAACAAATAAATGGCCATAGGTGCTCAGTATCACTCGTCGGGAAATGCAGATCAAAGCCACAGTGACGTATCGCCTCACACCTGTAAGGAAAGCTGTTACCAAAACTCCAAAAGATCATGAGTGACATGGAAAAAGTGGATCCCTTGTATGTTTCAGCAGGAACATAAAATGGCACGGCCACCATGGAAAACTGTAGGAAGGTCCTCAAAACGATAAAAACAGAATTACCATAAGATCCTGCCTCTGCGCTTCCAGGTGCTTATCCAGAAGTACTGAAATCAGCACTTGGAGATGTTTGCATTCCTGTGTTCATTGCAGCATAATGTGCGATAGCTAAGATATAGAAACAGCCTGGATGTTTTGTCAGTGAACAAATGGATAAAGAATTTGCCAGGTGGCCGGGCGTGGTGGCTCACGCCTGTAATCCCAGCACTAGGGAGGCTGGGGCGGGAGGATCGCTGTGAGTTCGAGACCAGCCTGGGCTACAAAATGAGCTCAAGGCCAGCCTGAACTGCATAGGGAGACCCTGTCTCAAAAAGACTAAATAAATAAATAAATAAATGTTACTTAGCTCTGAGCTCCCCTGTGCAGTTTGCATACGTCCCTCTTACTGTAAATTGGCATTTAGCAAAAGTCCGCTGAGTTTGGCGCTGACCGCAGGTTTTCTTTCAGTTTTCACCATTCCTTTGGCTGATCCCTTTACAGCAGAGTTCCCCAAAAACTATGCAGGAAAAATGGCATGCGCCTGAAATCCCAGCACTCTGGAAGGTTGAGGCAGAAGGACTGCAAGTTTGAGCCCAGCCTGGGTGACTAAGGAACTCAGCAAGACCCTGTCTCAAAACTTCAAAAAGGGCTGGGGGTGTGAGTTCAGTGTGAAGACCCTGAGTTCAGTCTTCAGTAGCAGGAAAAAATAAAATAAGAATCCTTGCCTCCGGTTCCTTCCTTCTCATGCCCTGTTGAACCTGCTGCACGTGGGTTACTTTCCCAAAAGGTGCATCCTTCCAGTGCCACTGACAGTTCCATCACTATTGGTTGGTGCCCGGATGGCATGTCTTGTCCCGAGGCATTAGACAAGGTCCTCACTCCCTCCTCCTGGAAGGCTTTCTTCCCTTGCAGTGCTGGACAGCTGAGTCTTTCACTCTCCTTTGCCATTCTAGCTCCTTTTCCCGCCACTGAAAGCCAAAGGCCCCCACCTCAATCCATGGCCACTGTCAAAGAGAACCATTCTTTCTCCTGGTGCGTGCACCCCCAACACCGTCTATGTGCACACGACTTGCAGACCCCTGGGTGGCCCTGACCTTTACCCTGAGCACTGACTGCAGCAGGAACCGTGTGGACCGCTGCATCCCCAACACCATGAATGAACGGGCAAGTGAGTAGGTTTATGAATGACCGCCTCAGTGCTTGCTCGTCTGCCCTTCTGAGAACAATCTGCCAAAAAAAAAAAAGTAAAGCAGGGCTCTCGTGAAGACAAGCTGTCCTAAGCACTGCTGTTCACACGTGATGGGAGGGGGAGACCCTTTTATGGGCTCTTGCTCACTCTGAATCGCTTCCTCTGGAGAAACCGAGAAACGGAAAAGCCAGTAGTTTACAGATAATTCTTTGGCCAGCAGGTGGCGCCAAATGATCTCCAATCCTCCAGGTGTTTGGGCACTTTCAGCTTTCAGGATGACCTTAATTCCAAGTCCTAAACTAGTTTAAGAATTTTCCATGTGTGGCTAACAGGGAGTATTAACCCTTGCCAGATATGAAATACTTGGAATCACTGCAGAGCGCTTCCTGCGTCCCTGGCCTAAAACCTTTTGCGGACACAAGCTGCCTTCAGAAACCAGCCAAGTCCCTGGGAGAAGCAATGCCACATTCACCTGTCCCTGTGGCCTCCAGCCCTCACTTTGGCTCTGGGAAGCGGGTATCCTCAAGCCACTACATAACAAAACTGCAGCTCGGAGAACTCACCTGCCCGTGTCACACTGCTGGTAAACAATACAGTCGAAACCAGGCCGCCTGCCGTCGGAGCCCGGCTGTGTTAGCCTGCAGCTTTCGATACAGCAGGCCTGGGGCTGAGATTCTGTCTCCCAGTTTGCAGGTGACATGATGCAGCTGCTGCCCTTACCCCTGGCTCAGGTCCCGTGGGACAGAAACTATTCCTCCGGCATCTATGCTCTGAGGCCGATGAGTCAGTGCTAAATCCCACAGCACCGCAGTGCGTTAGGACACATGAGGACTGTGCCCTTATGGTATTTACAGTTTCACAGAGGCTGGAGCCTTGGCTGTGAAAAGGAAGGTTCTGGAAGGGTTCCTAGAACAGCTCCTAAATCCTTCTGTACTGTTTCCTGGGTCAGACAGGGGCAGGAGGGAAGCCCCATGTCTTCATCCCCCTCGTTCCCATAATCCTCTTTGCCCACAGATTTATTTCTGGGAAGCCCAGCGGCAGAACCTCACCGAGCGAGTGAAGACGCTTTTCCTGGCTGAAAATGGCGTGAAGCTCAAGAACCTGACCGGTTATACCGCCTACATGGTCACTGTGGCAGCTTTCAATGCTGCAGGAGATGGACCACGGAGCGCCCCCGTCCGGGGCCAGACCCAGCAAGCAGGTGTGAAAGGGTAACTCTGCATCCTGGGTGCCGGAGGAGCCATCTGGTACCTGGACTTTTGGAGGGAGTGGAGGCAGCTGCTTTATCCCTCCAAGCACCTGGGCTTAGTACCTGGGCCCCCATGAGACACCCAGCAGGATGGGAGCTGCAGTCCACAAAGAGGGGTCTAGGACTTGAGCGCTTAGAAAAAAGGAGCTGTCCCCATAGGTTAAGACAGCCCCCAGATCTCGCCTGTCCCCTCCCCTTTTCCCCAGACAGCAGGTCTTGGAGATGGCCACCACTCTCACTGCCTGCCTGGCCCCCACCTCCTCTCTGCTGTCTCTTCAGGGGCCTTTGTTCATTCCACCACCATTACTTACTGGGCTTGATGCTGGTGACATAACAGGGAGACCAATGGAGTCCCCCCCCCCCCCCGCGCGCTTCCCCTTGGGAAGGACATGAATCATAAACCAGTAAATACATGAGTTCGCCACAAGGATGCTGAGGGCGAGGGATCTGAGGATGGTGGCTGGAGGGCCTGGGGGAGGCGTGGCTGTGGACAGGTCTGCACAAAGCCCTCACCAGACGGTGACATCTGAGCTGAGATTGAGACCCACAGCACAGGAAGTGTTCAGGAGGCAGGGCGGGGAGCGGGGTCCGGGGAGGAGAAAGCAGCAGGTGCAAAGGCCTGGAGGCTCGAGGGAGGACAGCCAGGGACTCGCCGAAAAATGGGGTGAAACTCTAGTCTCCAAGGGTCTGGAGGACTGGGATTCATGTGAGGTAACAAGGGAAACCAGTGGAGGGTTTAAGGAGTTGAGCACCAGGACCTGGGTTGGAAAATAATCACTTTGAGGCTGGATGGGAGGAAACAGAGGCAGGGAGGCCAGGTTGGAGGCCAGGCGGGAGAGCAAGGCAGAGGAGAGGGCAGAGGTGAAGACCCCACCATCGGGCACTGCAAAGCAAGCCCTACAGCATGTCCAAAGCCACTTTTCAGGCAGTACCTTGCTGGATCCCCAGGAGCCCTGGAAATGGGCAGTGCAGAGTCACCTTCATTTCACAATGAGCAAGGGTCACCTGGGAAAGCATGGCTCTTACCCAGAGTCCCCCACGGGTCATGGGAGAGCAATGCTTGCACCTAGGATTTCTGAGAGAACCAAGAGTCCTCTCTCTGTCTCTCTTTCTGTGTCTGTCTCTCTGTCTCTGTCTCTGTCTCTCTGTCTGTGTCTCTGTCTCTGTCTCTCTCTCTCTCTCTCTCTCTCTCTCTCTCTCTCTCTCTCTCTCTCGCTGTAAATAGGTTGGCCTCCTATATCTGGATTCCACATCAGCAGATTCAACCAACTGTGTCTCAAAAATATTCCAGAAAAATTGCAGCTATGTCCAACATGCACAGACTTTTTTCTTGTTATTATTGTTTCCCAAACCAAGCTGTGTAACAACTATTTACACCACATTTTCATTGCATTATATATTGTAGGGAAACTAGAGGGGATCTGAAGCCTACAGGAAGTCAAGTGCAAATATAACTTGTACAGAGGGGACTTGAGCCTGGTGGGCTGTTGGCATCTGGGGGATCCAGGGACCAGTGGTGTGGATGCAGAGGACAAGTGCCCGGCCCCGGCCCTGGCTTCCCTGATGCCTTTTCCTACCTGCTGCTTCCCTTAGTGGGTCATGTGTGGCTCTTAAAGAACTGCTCAGGAACCGGTTTCTAATTGTGTTCCTCTCTGGGGACAAACCCTGGCTACAGGGAAACTTGTCCCTTCGCTGGCTCCCCGGGGTCTGGCTGAGGCTGAGCTGAGCCTGTCTGTCTGAATGCAAGTCTGTCCATCTGTCCTGACCATATTCTGTCCATGTCATCAGCCAGATATGAGCCCCTGGGAGCCTGGAAGCTTCCGTTGTGGTGGCCACAGGACAAAGTGTTCTGTCCCGCATCCCTCTGGCCCTGGGAGGGAGGAAGGAGACCCTGAGCTCACCTCCCTCCTTCAAACACAGCTCACTGACGCTGCCTCCTGGAGCAGGGCCGGAAACGGGTCCAGATTAGCTCCGGCCCCGCAGGGAGGCTGTGCCGGACAATAATAGCCTGGCCATCGCCTGGCCAGCTCAGGGGCTGCGGAGGGGGACGCTTCCTGCCCTTCCCCTCCGTCCTCCGCTGCCCCCATGTTTTCAGGGTCACTTTCTGCCCTTGGCTCTGGCCCTTTCTGACAGCGTGCTACAGTGACATCTATAGCAGCACCACATCCGAGGGCCAGAGACCCCTACCCTCATGTTCAGAGGCCCAGAGACCCCCCCCACCCTCTCTACCAGAGAAGCAGACAAGAAAAACCCACCCCGCAGGCAGGAAAGGGCCTTGTCCCCCAGTGATTCTGGGGGCGTAACAGCTTGTCCCATGCTGGTAGCCCGGGCTCCCAGCCACTCAGCAGGCTAAGGTCCAAACTCTCCCACTGCAGAGAAAAATAAAGTTTCCTTTTTTCCCAGCTTCAAGGCCTCTGATATTGGAGACTTGAGTGCTAAGGACGTCAAGGGAGGCGGGTAAGGGCTCCGAGGGCTTCCAACGAATCCTCCTGCCTTCTTCGCTGAGCCCTGCCCTCTTCTTCTTCCCAGGCCCAGACCCAAATGCCCCCATTAATTTCTTGGAGCCAAACCCAAGGCTTTGAAGCTTCATAGAAGGAGGAAACAAAAACCTTTTGCTGTCTCCCACAGCCCCCAGCGCTCCCAGCTCGGTCAAGTTCAGCGAGCTGACCACGACCTCAGTGAATGTGTCCTGGGAAGCCCCACGGTTCCCCAATGGCATCCTGGAGGGCTATCGGCTAGTGTACGAGCCCTGCACCCCGGTGGATGGTGAGTGACCCCTGTCCCACACAGCCCCGACCCTCGCCTAGCAAGGGCTTGCATTCTTCTGGGGTCCCCGTCACAGTCACTGCATATGAGTTAGATGCACTGAGAGTCTCCCCATATTACAAACAGGGAAACTGAGGTCCAGACCAAGGAAGAATTTCCAAGGCAAAACAACAGCAACTTGAAGGCGAAGTTGGACTGTCTCCAAACTTCTAGGTGGAGAATTTTTAAATATATTCTGCCCCTTCTGTCAACAGGAGCAGGGAAATCTGAGCAAAGCATAGCCCCCAAGGTGGACAAGCCTCTGTGTGGGTCCTGGAGAGGGGGCAGCCCTGACAGTACCACCTGAACTTTAGAGTCATTGTTCTGACTTGGGTCTAGTGCTTCTTTACCCTTTGGCAGTCAAGACGCCCTGAGAATCTGATCAAAGCCTTGGAGCTCTCCCCATGAAGACGCACACGTCTGGGGGGGTCACTGCACCCCTGTGACCAACTTTGAACCTCTATCAGGATCCCAACTCCACAAATGATACCTCTTCCCACCAAGCCGTGCTCACCAGAGCAATCTTCAGACCCTTTGTCACAGCCCCTGTCCCCTCCAGGCCCTGGCTAGCCTGTGCCCTAATTGTGGCTGGAGCCATGCTGACCCGAACAGTAGACAGCACACATTTGCCAGCTTTCTTCCCTGGAGGGATGCCCAGCCATGGGTGGTATGAGTCAGCTCAGGGTAAGCGAAGTGCCCAGGAATCCCTACCAGTTGGTCACCAACAGGCAACTTAGAGGCAGGAAGGGGCTGGACTTCTTACTGCCTGGGTCTGCTTCCAGCAAGATGGCATCATGTGGCTGGCCTAGTAGGGTACCCTGGTGGCAGGAAGTGACCACTTCTGCGGTTGCTCACTTTTTCTCACCCTTCCCAGCAATGGAGGCCAGCAAGAACAAGGGCCAGAGCCCAGGGGCATCACCCCAGCCAACAGTTCTGGGTCAGTGGAGGGAACAATGGCCTTGTTTTTCCTGCTGCCACTTGGGTGCCAGCAGCCCGTCCGGCAAAGTGGAGCTGTGTGTTAGGACACCCAGGGAGCCGGGCCCCAGGAAGGGATCTGATCAGGTGCACAGCAGGCAATGGGGCCAGGACAGAGAACATAAAGAGGGTGCAGGGGTCCTGGATAAGGACAGTGGCTTCCACCTGGAGAGATGTACGCACTTCGCCTCCCAGTCTTCAGTCCAGCAGGGCTTGCACATGAGCTTACAGATTGCCATCCTCCGTATAATAGCCCAACTAATAAGCGTGGATAATGCCCACCTTACCAGCATGGCGTCTGCCCCAGCTTGTGCCTCAGCCCTGGGTGCAGACCAGCTGCTCCCTTTCCACAGGGAAAAGTGAAGCTCATGCACATAAGAGTTGTTCGGCAATGTCAAGGACCAGGTACCAAGGGTCCTGGCTCCTGGTCCTAGGCAGTCATTTAATTCCCCTGGCTCCAAGTATCCCATCCTCGTTCATTCATTCAGTAGTAGACTGGGCACCTACCAGGTTCCAGTGGCTCTGTCTTTGTATTTGAATCTCGGCACCCCTGTCTGAGACACTGTTGATACCTTTGGCTCTGTAGGAGAACAAACGAATGCCAGGTTCAGGGACAGGCCCAGAGACACCCAGGGCCAGGGCCAGTGTGGAGCCTGAGTACAGGAATGAAACCTGGTCCCAGGCCTTGGGGAGGCTGATGGCCACAGGCTGGGTTTGGAAGACACAGAGCACACACTCCGCCCTCCAGAAAACCGCTGTAGCCTGCCCTGGAGTCGCCATGACTTGGCATACAGAAGCATTCTCATTTCTACCCTAAAAACCCAGGCGGTACAGGTGGTGAGGGGCCCAGGGCAGCTCAGCCCTCACTGGCAGAGAGGGAAGAGGAGTCCAAAGTCTGGGCTGGGGTTGGAGCCAAAGTAGGAGCTGGAGCTGGAGCTGGTCAGTGTGTCCCCTCCAGGCCCAAACTTGAGGCATCTTCACAGAAGTACTTCCTGAAAGATTTGCCAGGAATTAGAGTTCTGCAGGGCATTGTAGGAGGGAACCAAGACAGGGGCGAAATGGATGTGGGTGCAGTAGTATGCGCAATGGTGGGTGAGTGCTTCTCCCTCCAGGGGTCAAAGGGACCTGCGGGTCTTCAGGAAGTAGGACACAGCCTTTCTCAAACTTCTTCAGCCATGGAGCCCTTTTCCCTATGAACAGCGTGCAGAACCATGAAACAGCATGGGGAACATGGCCTTGCCGGCTAGGTGAAGCACCTTGCCCGTGTCTGGGGGCTTAGGCCGGTGCTACCACCCGTCACTGTAGCCTCTAGTGGCCTCAGTGCCCCTGCTCCCTCCGGCCACTGCAGGCCTGCTCACTACGCTTCTCCCCAGGGGTCAGCAAGATTGTGACGGTGGACGTGAAGGGAAATAGCCCCCTGTGGCTAAAGGTGAAGGACCTGGCAGAAGGCATGACCTACAGGTTCCGCATCAAAGCCAAGACCTTCACCTACGGGCCGGAGATTGAAGCCAATGTCACCACGGGCCCCGGAGAAGGTAGGCGAGCGATGGACTGCTGCCCCCGGCACCAACTCCTTCAGCCCCCACGTCAGAGCGGCTCCCAGGGTGAAGAACTGCATAGTCCTGGAGACAGAGTGGACACCCCGGAGCTTGCTCTTTACCCGTTCCCAGCACCCTCACCCTGCTCCCCAGTCTGGACTTGGTCAGTGGGATCCTCAGGCCACAAGGCCAAGCCCTTCTCTCACCACTCGGGCCAATACACACGGCTTGGCCTGGATGGAACCCAGGGCCTTGCACATGCTACGCAAGTGCTCTATCCCAGCCCCATCTTGCTCCTGTCTTTCCCTCCATCCAGAAGGACACAGCATGGTTGAACCCCGCCCCTACCTGGCCAGAGCCTTCTGCGCATGCCCCAGAACCACCTTCCAGTCTGGGCTCTCACAGAAGGGTACAAAAGAGTCACGTTCAGCTCTTGGGTGGATACTCAGAGACCCTGGTCTCCTGGGGTGGACAGGCCCAACAGTCTGCTCTAAACCCAAGGACCCCCGGTACCTCAGAGATGCTCTGATGGAGCTCTTAGATGGAGCGGGCAACCTCATCACAGCCAGGCCCCGCACCTGTCCCTCCTTCGCTCAGCCCTCCTTCTAGGCAGAATGTCACGTTGTATTTCCTCAGGTCTCAGGGAATGCCCCTAAAGCCCTCCTGACTCACCCCACCTCCTGCACCTCCACCTGCCTCTGCCAGGCACATGTGGTAGTCAAGGTTTAGCCCCCAAAGCCCCTGTCACAGGTACAAGTGGTCCCATCCCAAACACAGAGCCATCTCCCAAGAAAAAGTACACAGCCCATCTCAAAACCTCCCTGCAGTGTCACCTCCTTCCCGGCCTGCCCCACCAGCCAGCAGTGGACAAAAGCTCCTGGCACCACGAGGTCAGGCCGGCCTGGGCTCTGGCAGGGGAGGGTCCTGGAGAGCAGCAGGCCCCTTGCCTCCGACCTGCCAGCGGGTGTGCGGGCAGCCGGCCACTCTTCACTTTCCCGTCCTGGTCACTTTCTCTCCCCTCTTTTGTTCAACAAAAAAACTCTTGTGATCCCAGCCGCCCTGAGAACAGAGCCGCAGGGCACAAAGAGAGCCTGCCAGGAGCTGCCCGGCTCTGCCCTTCACCTGGCTGGCCCTACCCCACTGCCTCTCACCTGAGACTGCCCTGGGAAACAAGAGCAGGAAGAGCTGGGGCCAAGGGAAGGCCGTGGGGAGGCTTGAGGACAGAAGAGGCAGCCTGGAGGATATGTTGTTCCAATTTAAGGCTTAAAGCGGGGGCTGGGGGTTTAGCTCAGCAGCAAAGCGCCTGCCTGGCAAGTGCAAGGTCGTGAGTTCGGTTCCCGGTACCGGAGAAAAACCAAAAAAAAAAAAAAGGCTTAAAGTATCCCAGGCTGAGGAAGGGCAGGAAGCCGAAGGAGGGGCGGAGGGCGCTCAGAAAGAACCTAGCTCTCCCTGACTGTGTGAGCAAGGAGGGCCCTGCGGGAGGAGAACACGAAGCCAGGAATCCCTGTCCCTCCGCACAGGTGGATGCTGAGCCCCTCTCTCAGCCCTGAGCAGAACAAGAACTCGGGTCCTGCCCCCCTCTTTCAGGCCGTAGCCCCCTCCCTTGAGTTGTGAATGCTTCTAGGGGGAAGAAGGAAGGACAGAAAGAACTGCAGGGTCCCAGGTCACAGGGTCAGGCCTGGACGCAGGGGCCTGGCCGTGGGCTGCCCAGCTGTGTGATGAGTCCCTGCCCTCCTGTCCCAGCTGACCGGCTCTCCAGGGTCCCAGAGGAGCTTCAGTGCAGTGATGGACTTTCTTCCCAGCTCTTTTTCCAGCAGGTGTCCCCAGGGACTAGCAGCTCACTCGTGTACTGGCTGGTCCCTAGTCCCACAAGCACATGGGAAGCACCTACTGTGTGCTAGGCTCTGGAAACGCTGGGCTCCATGTCTAGTGGGAAACAAGCATGGTGGGTGATAGCACACAGGGTGGGGGCCCAGAGACAGGCACCAGGCTTGCACTGGCAGGGCATTCTGCAGAGAAGGGGCCCCAGGTCCTCTGTAGACAGATACCTGGCTCACTGCTCTGTCTGCAGAAGCAACCTCCTGTCTCCCACCCTGGCTCCCCGGCTGGCAGACATCCCAGACTGCTAGCTGGACACAGGAGAGCTGGCAAGCAGCCAGGCCCTCCCCCAGCCCCTGCCCTTCCCCCTCGGCCGGCCCCCTCCCTCTGCCCCTCCCTCTCTTTCCTCCTCTCCCCACCAAGGCTTACCTGGAGCCTCTTCTCTCCTCCCCTAACCTAACAGCAAGTACAGTTGGGGCAGGGAGACTTCCGGCAGGAGATAGGGTGGTCATCACTATCTGTAGGTGATGGTGATCACCTACCAGAGAAGGAGATGTTGGGCCCTTTCAGGCTTCTCCGACCCCAGTGCTCTCAGGGGGTCCCGGAAGCTCTTTGGCCTGAATTGGCTTGGCCGCCCAGTCACCCTTCCTGAGCACTGGTCGATGGGCTGGGTGGTCATTCTGGGTTCCTGCATGCCTTTGCCCACGGTGTGTGGTGTCTGCAGGTGCCCCGGGGCCACCAGGAGTGCCGATCATCGTGCGGTACAGCTCTGCTATTGCCATCCACTGGTCCAGCGGAGACCCTGGCAAAGGGCCCATCACCCGCTACGTCATAGAAGCCCGGCCTTCAGGTGCGACACTGCCCCCTTCCTGAGTCCCTGCGCGCAGAGCTTGTGAGAAGGGACTCTTTACTGCCAAGGTGAAACCGGAGGCGGCCCTGTCGGGGAGTGGGAAATTGGGGGCGCCTCCTCTGAGCTGAGACTTGCTTAAGGAGCAGCCAGGAGGCTGCAGGAAAACAATTCAGCACTAGCTTGGGTGGAGGATCCTTCGAGAAGCCAGGGAGGAGAGGTTTGGCTCACGCTGGTGAAACACCCGTGTCCTCTGCATGACCCCGCTGCCATGTGGCACATAACTAAGGAAACCCAGCTGCCTCCTGCAGTTCCGTCTCTGCCGTCACAGCGCTCACAGTTCATGTAATTGTACCAACCTCTCCTGTCAAGCCTGAAATCAAATCACAAGAACTTCTAAAGCCATCAGGAGATGAGCGATTGATAAGTCGCTGGAGGGGGCTGCTCTTCGATCTTGTTTCAGGCTTCCTGACACCTGCTTCCTGGGCTCCGCTTACTCGAAGGAGCCCCAGCTCCCCTGTTGCTAGGTTTCCCAGTTAATCAGAGGTGCCAGAGTCAGCCAAGGGCTGCAGGCATCTTTGTATTCGGTGGGTCTGAGATTAGGTGATTGGAGTTGAGAAAAGAAAAACAAGACTTGGTCCCTATGACCCCAATAACAAATAATAGTCATAAGGAAAATTAGTCAAGCGTATGAGTAGCCAGTTCTCCTAACAGGGCACACTGAAACATCCCTGTGACAGACTGTTCCTATCGTGAGGTAGCCAGTGCTAATCACACCGATAGCAAAGAGTTAATAATTGTAGGCGCTTCTGGAAACTGCCACGATTGCCTTAGTCACCTACTAAATAACTGCATTTGCAAATAGCTACTGCATCTAGCAGCTCAGATCCACCACGCTGCCCATGGCGCTGGCTCTGTCCCCACTCCAGATGGTCCCTCCTTGGCCCAACGGTGCCGGCTGCTGAGTTGGCCAGGAGACCCCTGAATGGTTCCCCCAACCAGAGCCTGCGCCTCTTTCTTCCACCCAAGTTGGCTGACTTGCGGGCAGGCTGTGGAATGTCGGCCCTGGCCTCGGGCCTGTTGATTTTCCAGTGTTCTTCGGGAGGCCCAGCATGAGACTCCAGTGTTCCAAGTTGGGAGACCGTGACTTGGTCCACACAGGTAGAATCCAGGACTGAGCATAAAAAAGAAGGAACAAGATAACCCCCAGTGCCGGGCCTGGGCTGAGCTGGGCAGAGAGCTGGCCGGGGCTCAGTCACCCCAACCCAGGAGTGGGCCACGGACCCTGAGGAACGGGGAGAGCCAGGGAATGCTGTGGCCTTCCTCTAAAGTGGTTGGGCATCAGGCTCCCGCTCTGGGAGAGGGGTTCCTTTCCTCAGTGCCCTTGCCCCTTCTCTGCGCTCCCTCCATGCTTACAGCCCCCCATCTCCGGGACGCAGTAGCCCTGTTGAACGCTGCTCCTATGTTGTTTATGCCTCCTGCTGCCCAGAATAAGTTAAACATACCCGATTTCTGCAAGCCAGAGAACTACCAGGCACAGCAGCCTCAGGAAGGGATTCACTCCGGGGATTTACAGGCCCATAGAACTGGCTCTGCATGTCAACCGGCTCCCAGGGCCCGAGGCCAGGGCCACAGCAGGACATTTCAGTGGCTTCTGGCCTGGCCCCATTGCCCGGGCTCCCAGGGGCAGATCAAGGAGGGATCAACAGCAGGCAGGAGGCCTCAGCTTCTGGAAGCCAGCAGCGTGGTCCTCCATGAACAGAGCATATCAGCAAATACCAGTTCACTTCTGGTTACACACAGAGCTGTCTTAGCTACCCTGGGGAAGTTCATGGCAAGAGTCAGACCACTGTGGGCAGAAATACCAGCTCTGCCTTTTGTGGCAGTGTGGCCTTGGAAAGATGAGTTAAGCCCTCTCTGAGTCTTGACTTTCTCATCTGTAAAATGAGGACAACAGTTCCTCCCCTTTGCCATTGCTATAAACATGGAAAGATAGATCCAGGATGCATGACAAAGGAAATAGTGTTCCCTGCCACGTGGTCATCATCATACCCTCCCAACAGTTACTCCGAGGTAAGAAAGAGCACGCAAAGCTGCACGAGGAATGTGGATTCCCACCCAGTGCTTACATTTCAAGGCGCGAAGCACTGAAATTGGACACGTCATCCTATGGAAAAGATGGTAGAAAAGTCTCCCTTCATTCATTCATTCGTTCATTCGTTCAGCAAATGCTTAGAAGGTGCTTATGCTTGGTGCTAATTTGTGCCGAGACAAACTGGGCATGATCCCTTGAGAGATGTCACAGCCTAGCAGGAGAGAAAGGAAAAACAGAGAAATTAAATGAAAAAGAGGATGTATACAAGGCCAATGCTCAAAAGAACGTTAAGACTCAGATGAAGGGGCTGGGGATTTAGCTCAGCGGCAAAGCACCTGCCTGGCAAGCACAAGGTCGTGAGTTCGGTTCCTGGTCCTGGAGAAAAACCAAAAAAAAAAAAAAACACTCAAATGAAGCCAAGGCTCATGACCCTGAGGCCTTCCACGGGGACAGCTCTGGACACAGACGGGCCCCACAGCCTTCCCCAAATTGACAAGGTCCCTCTTGATGGGGACAGGCAGCCATCTGCAGGTCCTGACACACTCTTCGTGTAAAATTCAGAAGTGACAATAGAACTGTGGTGGCACCTCTGGTTGCATTTGGACTTACGAGTTGGAGCTACAGAAAAGCTTGGCGAGGAAGACCAGTAAAACCCATCAGCCTAGGGAGTCGCATGCTGGAGCTGGGGAACCGAGGTCCTGGCAAGCGGCTCTTTTTGGCAGGAACTCAGGAGCCTGCAGGAAGAATGGGTCTGAGAGGGTGAAGCCAGAGGTGCTGCATGGTGTGTGCTAGTAGAAGTTAGGGGCCTTTGGATCCCTGGTCTGGGGGACTCACTGGCCACTGGGTGACCCTTCTAGTGCAGGCTTTGGGAGGGAGGATCCATGAGCTCAGCCCCAGTGCTGCACGCTGGGCAGAGTACTGAGCCAGGCAAGGCAGATGGGCCCTGCCCTCTGGGAATGGCGGAAGGGACTGGGTTGAAGAGGGATTTGAGGCTCTGCCTTACCTCACGGCTGCCTCCCTGCTGTGCCTTTGCAGATGAGGGACTCTGGGACATCCTCATCAAAGACATCCCTAAGGAAGTGAGCTCCTACACTTTCAGCATGGACATCCTGAAGCCAGGCGTAAGCTATGACTTCCGGGTCATCGCAGTCAATGATTACGGCTTTGGCACCCCCAGCAGCCCCTCCCAGTCTGTGCCAGGTACTGGCTTGTGGGGTGAGAAACGGGGGAGCCCCATGGAAGAACCTGGCGACAAATGCTGGGTGGTAGGGGAAGAGAGTCACCAGGACACAGGAACAGTTGGGTGGCCACTGTCCTTTCAGTTCTACAAAGCAGGGAGCTCTGGGCCAGGACCCGCATCAGCTCCTAAATCCAGGGGAAGCTGGGGGCCTTGGAGCTTTTGGGTCTCTTTCTCTGGACAGTAACAGTCTGGGTAGAGGCAGAACAATGAATCCACAAGGAGCGTTTCCATGAGCTCACCACCCAGCTGGTGCAAAGGTGCCAACTCGTAAGACCCTCACAACAAACAGGGTCAGCATTCTGTGGGGGAGAGGCTGGCCTCTTAGACCTAACTGCACAGTGCTCAGGTGGGCTAGCTCCCCACCCCTCTCTCCCCTGTGTCCTCTGCTCATTCTTGCCATCCAGCATGTTTTAGAGTTCACAAGGGACTCTCGTGTCTACTTCCGTGACCCAAATCTAATCTCTAGCCACTTTAAATGCTGGGGCTGCTTCCTGCAAGCCAGAAATACCACTCAGAATTTCTACTAGCGGAATGAGCACCAGGGACCCTATTTCCTCTCTCCACCCACACACCTGTTCCTTTGCCCAGAAATAGTCTAAGACTAAAATCCAAGAGCCAGCCATTCCATGGCAGCAACATGGTTAGTACTGGTGGGGGAGAAGGTACAGAAACACAGTACTGGGGGCTTTGCAGGAAGGGGATCCCTCCCTGGCAGAGGCCTTCAAAGACCCCCTGGGCCAGCCTTTCCAGTACCCCCTGCTTCCTGCCACCAGGTGGAAAAATTTCAGTGCAAACTGAGCCTTGGGAAAAGCTTTCCCAAGCCCCCATGGGGCCAGAAAACACCTCTCCCCACATGGATTTGGGTCTGCTTATCAAAGCCTTTTTCTCTAGGCAAGGGGGAGGGAAGTAGCTAACATGCTGCTGCTCTCCATTCCCTGTGTCCCTGGCAGACATTACGAATCAATACCAGCATTCTGTCTCAATGAGTCCAGAGGCAACCTCAGAGCCTTTCCTCAAAACAGTCCTCCTTGCTGGGCACACACCCATAATCCCAGCACTTGGGAGGCTGAGGGTGGAGGATCACTGTGAGTTTGAGGCTAGCCTGGACTCCATAATGAGATCTATCTCAAACAAAACCAAACAAAAAACCAAAGAGAGTCCTCCAGGCAGTCTTTTACCAACAGAACAGAGCTGGGACTTGAGGTGAAATTGTCCTCCAAACCCAGGCATAGGTTTCACATCTTTCAGAGGGCACAGACCCTGCCTACCGTAAACTGCATGAGCAATAGGTAGGGCCCTGCCGGAACAGGAGGTTCGAGGCAGGAGGGCCTGTGCACCCTGGACCTGACACCTGCATCCGTGTTCAGCCCAGAAAGCCAGTCCCTTCTACGAGGAGTGGTGGTTCCTGGTGGTCGTTGCCCTCGTGGGCCTCATCTTCATCCTACTTCTGGTCTTTGTCCTCATCATCCGGGGCCAGAGCAAAAAGTATGCCAAGAAGACAGACTCTGGTGAGTGTGCTGGCATCCAGCCCTCTGGCTGGACTTGACTTTCACGTGTCTCCCTCTGGCCAGGGCAGAGGGTGGGCAGGGCACTCTCCTGGCGATGCACCTACCCAGCAGGGGCAGCATCAGGATCCTATGCATGATGTCGGCCTCTTAGTCTTAACTCTAACAAAAGAACAGGGGCAGCCCAGCTAAGGGAGAGAACGGGGTGGGACAGGGGAGGCCCTGAGGTCTAAAAGGTGTCAGTTTCCCCCCACAGGGAGTAGTGCCAAGTCCGGAGGCCTAGGTCACGGGGAAATGATGAGCTTGGATGAAAGCAGTTTCCCAGCCCTGGAACTCAACAACCGGAGGCTGTCTGTCAAGAACTCCTTCTGCCGAAAGAATGGCCTGTATACCAGGTATGTGCCTTCTCTATTTGACCAGAGGATGAGGGCTTAGGGACCAGGCCTCAGAGTCCAGTAGTGCCAACTTGTGAGGACACTGGGGAGGGCCATAGAGCAGGCAAAGCCCAGTTGGCCTTCCCTGTCCTGGGAGCAGCATTTGAGCTCCAGGACTGGGGACAATCGGCAGAAAGACATGACAGGGCCCAAGCAGTATAATCAGGGACCTGCACCGGTCCCCACAGCCTGACCACAGCCTAAGACATGCCAGAAAATTCATAGGGAGGTAGGTCTTAGGATCTCTGCTCATGGCACAAGAATGCAAATAACTTGGAAAATTTTACAAGCCAACCTGGGGCTCCAGTCATAGGTTGTGCAGACAGCCGTGGGCCCCAGAGGTGAAGTGGGCCCAGCCAAGGCATCCCGGGCATCTATACCTCAGGGAAAGGTCCCAGGAGCTCCTCCACCATTGCTCCTCCCCATCTAGGACAGTGGGGAAACCCTCTCCCCTCGTCCTGTTTCTACCTGTGAGAGGATACTCTCCTACCACGGACCTGCAGCCTCTGAAAGCTGCCAGCAAAGAGAGTTGAGGCTTGTGCTGGTTGCCCAGTTCCTGTTTCTCCTGATTTCTTTCCAACCCCAGCCCCTCCGGGGGCCCCCTCCTCGTGGCCACAGAGGCAGGGTGGTGCTGGGGCCCCTCTGACTCTCCGTTGATAGGATGTGACAGTTTTATGCTCCTGGGAGCTCAGGAGAGGTAAGAGGCTGCAGCCAGAAAGGCCCCTGTCTCCATCCTCAGCCTTATTGACATTCCAGGCCCGCTGGAGGCAGCCAGGAGGGGAGCCAGCCTCTCTCCTGGGGAGCTCACAAAGCTCCCTCTGTCTCTGTCGTGGAGGGTGGAAACCCAGCGTGTGCTCACAGGGAGGGGTAGAGGAGGGGCTTGCAGTCTCTTATCCCTCGCCAAACCCAGCCTGCCAGAGAAAGAGCTGTTTGAGAACACGGTAGCAGGCCCAGCTGGGCCCAGCATGGCCACAGCGGCCCCGCCAGGCTGGCTCCAGGACCCCGTTGCCTGGAACAAGGGTGCATTTCACCGATGGCCTCATCTTCCCCTGCCTCTGCCTGCCTTCCCAGCCCATGGTACCTACACATTGAGGCCTCTTTTATCCCCTACACCCCTGTGATGCACAGAAATAAATCTTATTCACACCAAATTAACCCCAGGCTCTAGAGGCCTGCAACTGGCCACAGTGACCGTCTTCTCCACCAGCCCCAGGGTTATGGGACACGGCACGAGAATGAGGAGGAACCCGAGTGCAGGGGCTGTGTGCCTTGTGTTCTGCCCACATCACTGTCCTCTCCTTGGCTGGGGGAGGCTGCCCTGTGTGAGGTCATCTCTCAGCCCCACCGTCCCACTCCCTGCAGGTCTCCTCCACGGCCCAGCCCTGGAAGCCTCCACTACTCTGATGAGGATGTCACCAAGTATAATGACCTCATCCCGGCCGAGAGCAGTAGTCTGACTGAGAAGCCCTCGGAAATCTCAGACTCTCAGGTGAGGCGCAAGAGGCCCAGGTGCCCTGGACAGGGCAGGGGAGCAGCCCCTCCAGAGCAGTCAACAAAGGGAGCTGTGGTGACAAGCCTGCAAGTGGCCCATCATGTAGCCTTTTGTCCTTCCTGCTGTCTGCCTGCCTTCCTCCCTCCCTCCCTTCCTTCTTTCCTCCCCTGTCTGGAGACTAAGGGGACGCAAAACACTACCCAGAAGTCATTTATGGGCCAGCTGCCTCTCTCCAAGTTCTCAAACTTTTCCTGCAGGGATAGAGAGGTCTGGATCACATGACATCCCCAAAAACATGGTCCCCTGAGTCTGCCAGAGTCGCCCCCTGCCTGATTTCTTAGTAGCCTCAGCTTGCAACAGAGCATGCAGAAGGCAAGGGGAGAGAGAGAGACAGAGACAGAGAGACGGAGACAGATACAGACAGAGACAGAGATAGAGAGAGATCCTACACTGGAGGCCTGGAGAACTGTTTGGCTCAGCTGCTCAGGGGGCAGAGGAGCTCCGGACACAGAGGGCCGGGGCACGTAGAATCAGCAAGGTGTTATCCCTTATTTGTTAGAACCTGAGTATGGGTACTAGCTCTGCTGCCTCTACAGTGAGACCTCCTGTGCTTACTAGGGAAACCTCTTTAAGCCTCAGCTCCCCCACTGGCAGGTAGAACCGGCAGTGGTGGGCACAGGCTCTCTCATAGGGCTGTGGGGAGAGTTCACTGCAATTACGCACAGAAGAGCTCATCCCAGGAGCAGGCACACGGCAGTCATTCCATAAATGTTGGCTTTTCTATGAAGTGGCAACAACAGTGCCTCTGGAAGACAGAGCTGTAGAGCTGCCGCTGAGTGAGTCAGGCAGTGAGTGGCACTGTCTTGGGCTGTGAGGTATGAGCTGAGTGCATTCCGGCCACGCGATGTTTCAGCCTCCCACCCAGACCCACTCAGCCTACACCAAGCCTCGTGGTTCTCGAAGAAGGGGCCATGAAAGGCAAATGCCTCCCGTGCCTAGACCAGTCCTGGGAGGAGGAGAAAAAGAAAAGGTGCCAGGAAGCCTGGGATCCGGTTGCAGCCCATTGACCAGGGCCTCTCACTCAGTGCTGTTTTGTTCAGCTGTGGGGTTACTGATGGGCTCTGCAGAGCTAAGACAACTCCACCTACCTTCACAGTGCCAGCCGCAGGGTCAGACACCCCAGCTTATCCTGGCTTACTCAGGGACTCCAGGGGGGAAAAAGCTACTCTGAGCTCATGCAACTCAGGTCATAGTGCCTTTTTTTATTTAACTCTCAGCAGCCACACACCATGGGTATTGGGGTCTTACCCGGGTAGTCCATGGAGTCCTGGGTCCTTCCCCTGAAGCCCCAAAGATCCAACCAGCATTTAGATTCTAGACACTCAGTGTAGATTTGAAAAGGATAAAGGGATCCGTCTGCCCATGGAGCTGCAGTTCTGGGCTCCCTGAGACAACCAGTGGGAGGGACTTCCTGTGTGGCTCTCTTTGGTGGCCCTGGACCTTCCATGGCGCACATTATTAGTCCACACTCACTGGCTGGGCACTGACACCCAGGGAGCAGGCCCTCTGAATGCAGAAGATCATGCCCAGCTATCTCAAGAACTTTGTGTCACCATGCCTGCATGAATCTGGACAAGCCTCCCCGGAGGCAAAGCAGCCCAGTAACAGGAAGCTGTCCCACAGCCTCCCACCCTTCACTACAGAAGTTGCTGGGAGAAGAGTCCTTCTGTTCAAGACCTTCTGACTCAGAAGTTACCCATAGGGTGGGCAGACAGTGCCTGGAATCTGGAATCTTCCTCTTCCTGCTCAGCACGTGGTCTGGTTTGTGTAGAGCAAGCCCATCACTTGCATAGTGTTTCCATAGCAACCTGGCACCAGTCACTCCCCAGGAGCACTGCCCTAGAGAGAGGAGGTGCCAGGATCCGGAAGACGATTGTCAGAGCAGAACGCCCATACTCTTAGGATCACTTGACCAGGGCCTCTCACTCACTGCTGTTTTGTTCAGCTGTGGGATTATTGATGAGCCCTGCAGAGCTAAGACAACTCTGCCTACCTCCACAGTGGAGGCCTGCCCACAGAGCTGAGGACAGTTCAGATTTTGAGCGGGGTCTCAGTAGGGTTGGATTGAGTTTATTTGCTCGAAATTTGAGTTCCAAGGAGGCAGGAGTGAGTGATGGTTTTGGTCATGGTTGCATTGCCTGGTGGACACCATTGGAGGCTCTGAAGTGTCTCCAGCAGTGCCTGGGACCTGGGAACTCTGTACATAGTAAAAAAAAGGAAAGGCCATGAAGTTGAGTGGCCAAAAAAGACTCAAGACCAAGTACAAGTTTTCCAGGATGGAGAAATGATCCTGTGGTTACTGGTGCTTGGAGACAAGGTCTCATTGTGTTTCTCAGGTTGGCCTTTAACTCCTGGGCTGGGCTCACATGATCCTCTTGCTTCAGCCTCCCAAATGCTGGAACTATAGGCCATGTCACTTCTCTTAGAAAAACAATGATTTATGAGGCAGAACTGGCAGGGCTGCCTTACCACTGCCTCTGGGAGAGGCACTGGGGTGATTTGGGTCTGTGCTCCCTGCCCTTGTTCTCAAGAACCATACACTTTGCACGAGGGCCACCATAGCTAGTCCAGGTTCCAGGAGGCTATTTCCAGAGCACTACAGCTCAGGGATGGAAGCAGCTGGACAATACCAAGGATATCACCATAGGAAGACACGGGTCACCCTGTTTCCTGCTATGCTTAAGATGCATTGTTAAAATGTTACATTGAGCCATTTGTGATAGCCCATGTCCAGTACTCTGGGAAGATGTAGTAGGAGGCTCACAAGTTCAAGCCCAGCCTGGGCAACTTAGTGATTTAGTGAAACCTTGTTTCTAAATAAAAAGGGTTGGGGATGTGGCTCAGTGCAAAGACTCTGGGTTCAGTGTCCAGTACAGCTGGCCAGGGATATAGCTCAGCAGCACAGTGCCTGCTGAGCAAGTGCAAGGTTGTTAATGTGATTCCCAGTACCAAAAAAAAAAAAAGGAAAAGAAAAACAAAAGATAGTCAATGTCCAGTACTACACACACAAAAAAAAAATTAAATTGCTTGCATACCTGTTGGTAAATAGCCACCGTCCTGAGCCCCTAAGGATTCCAAGGGGACCCCAGGAAGACAGCTCCATGATTCTGCAGCTATGGAATATGAAGGGGAAGACAAGACTTGACTTGACCAACCTGCTTTTCTGTAATCTGTCTTAGATGGCCAGAGAGAGCTAGTGTCCATGTCTTCCACAAGGGAAGCACTGCAAACAGATGCAGAGGGAGGAGCCGATGCTGACTGCTCCTCAAAGTGCATTACCTTTTTCTTTCTTTCTTTTCTTTTTTTTGGGGGGTGCTAGCACTGTGGACAGAACCCATGGCCTTGCACACACTAAGCATTGCTCTACCCTGAGCCACACCCAGTCTCAGCATTCACATTGAGCTCTTAGGACCTAGAGGTAGTGGAGACCTGGTTCTGCCTCCCAGGAGCAACCGTGGGCTGGAGGGGACAGACTAGGAGACAGAGCACTGGGCTCCTTGCAATACCGTATTCCAAACACAAATAACCTGCCACAGCTCACTCAGTTACAAGGCCACTGTGTCAGGAGTGTGGCGCATCCACCACTGTGACTGTCATTTGGCTGGTGGCGGCTGCTGGTGTCCTTAGATGTCTTGTAGGTCCCTAAGGGTTAACCACCATCCTGCCTGCAGTTTCAGCGGCTCCGCAGAATCAGTGCCTGTCTTTTTGAAGCCTCCCAACCCCCAGATCTTCTGAGGATGAATTTTGCACAAGCCGCCTGGTTTATATTCTAAGTCAGACCACCCAAACTTCACTCACCAAAACCAGTGGAAATCTTCCCAGCCGCTTTCCTGTGATATGGCAATAAACAGAAAGTCAGTCTGACTTACAAACAAACACACGTGGGACCTGGAGAAGCCACAATAGGGCTATGGGTGAGGGCTGGAGAGTGAGGGGCTGGCTCTCCCCAAGGGCACAATGGGGCGGTCCAGACCTGTGCCTCAATGTGTGCAGGAGAAGGGTGCTTCAGGTAGAACCGAAGCACATCCAAAGAAGAGATTTAAGCGCCTGTGGCTTAATTGATGAAACTTCTAAAAATGCAGCATGGCTGCATTCCAACTCCATTTTCAAAATAACAACCCAAGTTTGGTAGGAAAAAAATATGTAGACTTAGCATACAAATAAATCTCAATGAAGAAGAATGCCAAGCCCGTGGCATACATCCCCCAGTCTTGATTTTCAGTTCTTGGCAGCACCATGGACGAACTCATTAGGATAGAATTAAGCCTATATGAAAAAGTAAGGAGCAAGCATACAGGAGAGATCGGATTTTACACACTTGAGTGCGTGGAGCACTTACTAGGAACCAGGACGGGCTCCAAGGATTGCTGGGGACTCAACTTAGTCCTCAGTGTCCCTGAGAGAGAGTCAGGAGACCTCACCAGTCCGCCCCCTGTCACATCTGCCCTACATACCTGCTATGCACCATGCACAGTTAGACCCTGGGAGGGATAAGTGCTGGCTTTGCCCTCCGTGGGATTCATTCATTCACTCACTCATTCATTCATTCGTTCCTTGGTGCACTTACTCCACAAGTATTTGTCGGCACCACTAAAGGCACTGTTTGTGAGTGGTGGCTTTGGTAGTGGGCAAAACAGAATCTCCATTTCACCAAGTTATGACCTATTAGGGAGGACCACGTGTGTAAATACAGCGCATTTCCTTTCTCAGGAAAATGTCCTGGAACCACATTTCCAATGTGACTGGCTTTGGGAGCAGAGTGGTGCCAAGGTTTTTTTGTTTCCTGTGCTTCTGGGCAGGGGAAATACAGTGAGGAATCTTGGGGGAAAGGCCACCCCACCCCAAGGCACACAGAGGACTGCCTGGAGGAGGCGGCCTGTGTTTGATGTGAACAGGGCCGGGCCAGGCACACAAGGAGCAGTGGCGCTGTGTCAGAACGGTGGTCCCGCCTGCAGCGCCTTGTTAGGCTGAGTGTCTCTGGTCTTGTGTCTGAGTGGCCTCTGGCCCATCAGGTTAGGCCACCAGTCACTAGGCTCAGCCGAGGCGCTGGCCCCTCTTTCCCTTGGCCTGACCCACATAGACTTTGGCAGCCCCAGCCTGAGCTAAAGGAAGAGCACATTGTAGGGCAGACAGAGGCTAGGGAGGGGCAGGGGAGGCGGAGCTACAGATTGCTCTGTGCTGTGTGTTTCGTATGCTCCCGTTTAACATGGAACCACCCCACCTTGAGAGTGGGATGATCCCCACCTTACAACCAGGGAAACTGACGCTCAGAGAAGTCGAGCAGCGTGCCTTTGGTCACAGAGCTCAGAAGGGCAGGTGGCTGGGGCTCAGTGTAGGTCCAGCTGGCTCACAGGGCAGAGTCCACCACAGCCTGGCGTCGCCCAGTTGTCCAGCACAGGCAGGATTATAGGACAGAGCCTTTCACTCACCCCAAACGCGTCCAGGGACCTCCCCTGAGGCTTAACCCCAGGCACCTCCAACAGCGGTGGGGTGGTATAAAGTCACAGGTAGCACAGGCGACCTTGTGTCTGAGCTGACGTAGTACAAGGAACATTCCTGGGTGGTTTCTAGTTGTTTTAGCACAAGGAGCCCAGAGCAGGGACAAATTCGTTCCTCCAGGGGACATTCAGTGAAATCCTTCAAAGATGCCCAGGAGATGCACCTCAGCCCTGCAGCTCTAATCCCCGAGAGTCTGTAGCCCCTGCAGAAGGTGAGCCCAGGGTTAGGGTACTGGAGGGGCAGGCCCAGGTGGGCAGAGAGTCCCTGGCACCACAGATGAGGGAGGGTCTAGTGCTTCGGATCTCTAAAGGACCTGCCCAGGGTGGCCTCCCTACCATCTGGGGCAACACATTCCTGCCAGGCTTGATGAAATCCAATTGGATAAGGGGCCCCTGGCTGGCCCGGGTCTCAACACCGTCCCGGAGCCCTGATCTGCTCCCTACTCCCTCGCTCACTGGCTGAGTCTGGGGCAGGAGATGAACAGCAAAGCAAAGGGGTTTGGCTTTGTTCCTCTTTTTTGCTTCAGTCTCTTCTCTGGGGTCCTCCCTCCCTCTGGCCCCCTCCTCATTCCCACCCCAGGCCTGGAGTCTGCACTCCCTCTCCCCACACCCCGTAATTGCTGATTGAGTGGCTTTGAGGAGCTGTTAAGAGGCCCAGGAACTGAAGCAGTCACTTGATGGCCTGGCTAGGACGCCCCTGAAAGGCCTCCTTTGTTCTGGGCCTGTTCCTGGGAAGCTGCGTTCAATTACCCGGAGCCCTGAGAGTTGAAAGCTGCAATAGGAGCCCCTGGATCCCCCTCGCTCTTTCTTCTCACCCCACCCCCACCCTGAAAAGAAACAGATGTTCAGGGACAGAGGCCTGATGCAGACACCCGCCTTGGCCAGCCCTGCGGAGCTGGGGGGTGGGGCGGACCAGACGCTCCAGCCCTGCCCTCCCGAGGGGCTTCGTTCTCTGCCTTTCCCGGCCCCATCAGGGCTGCTGCCCCACAGGGCACCTGGCACCCAGTAAGCATGCAGCAGACAGGGGCTGCTGGCTGTAGTGATTTGGATGAATGGGCTTTGGGAGCCAGGCCTCCAGGAGGACCACAGAGGTCCGACCCTGCCCTAAACCACACATCCCACTCTTGGTACAGAGGGGTTGGGGACAAGAGCTGGACTTTCTCTCCCTTTCCAGCAGTCGGAGCCCCCTCCCGCATCCCTTATGATCCCTCCCAGGGATACTTGGAGTCTCTCCCTGCAGGTCTGCTCCCTCCCTCCAGAGCTGCCTGGCCCTCTCACTGAGTTCTTCCCTACTAACAAATGATGGTCTACCCTTTTACAGCACACTGAGGTTCTGCGAGCCAGAGTGATGGGTCCAGATTCAGTTCAGTGGCAAAGGCCAGGCAGATGGAGCTTGACGCAGTCAGTTCTCACCGCCACAGACTTGTTCGCTGCAGAGCAACCCACAGGGATGGGGGCTCCTCTCCAGGGCTGGGGCCAGGGAGAGCTGAACTCCTAGACCGTCTGGAGAAGATCCTAGCCGCTATTCGAGCCAGGGAGCGGGTGGAGAGACCTAACTGTAAGGAAAGTTGTGCGCTGCCCTTTCGGCTCCCATACTCTCAGACCCTCCTGCCCACCTCCCCCGCCCCCGTGATATCCTCCCACTAGCTGGGCCTCAGCCCTAGGGATCAGGTGCCACCTCAGCAGATGGAGCCCTCCCACCTGCGGGTGCCTTTTGTCCTCCCAGGCTGGCAGCTGGGCGGTAGGCAAAGAAAGGGACTGTATTGTGCTTCCTGGCCTCCTGGGGCACAGGGCCGAGGGGCTTTCCATTGTCTTGGGCAGGGGGCTCTGCCCTTCTGGGGAGGTGTCTGCTGGGATGGGCGTTGAAGGGACAAGGAGAAGGAGGGGAGGGGCTGGGGGATATAGATTAGCAGATGGACTGGGGAGTATGTGAGCCCCTCCAGGCGAAGGGACAGGAGCTCACATTCCCACTTTACAGCCTCCAGACAGAGGGGTGGGCAGTAAGAGCATTCACAGGCTTTGGAAAACCGTGCAGAACCGAGCTGAGGCCTAGCTAGACTGCTGCCCGGAGCAAAACACTCACCCTTTTTGTGCTTGGGTTCTCTTTGTTACTCAGGCAGCATCAGTACTCAGGCAGTATTAGTACTCAAACAGCATCTGTATTCAGGCAACACCATACTCAAGCAGTATCAGTACTCAGGGAGCAATACCATTCCCACAGCATCAGGACTCAATCGGCAATCACAGAGCCATAGCAGCTACGGCACAGAGGTGCGGAAACTAATTACAGAAGCGCAAGTCAGCAGTATCCATAGCATTCCAATTCTGTACAGTGTAGCTGCGTCTCTCGAGGGTCTGGAAGCTGCGGAAGACTTTGAGTCCCTGAGAAAAAACTGTGCATTTCATTTTCCATGGCTTGGATCCTTTGCGGGGCAAGAGCACCATTCCAGTTGCCCTACCTGCAAAACAGGACACAGCGCATCATCCCAGACTCATTTGCGTTGGGCTAACTGGGATTCTCACCTCATTTCTCACCCAAGTGCATCTTGCTCAGGTTGGTCTAAGGGACTAACTGCCCCAGGCAGCGGCATTCGTGGGCAAGGGCAAAGAGGGCAGGAATCAAGAAGCCTGTGTGAGGCCTTCTGAACGGCATGTCATGGAGCGCGCTGTTCACTAACCTCCTCGCCTTCTCTTCCAGAGTGTTCCCATCTGTTGTCCTTTTAGTTCTCAAAACACTGCCAGGAGCTTGGGGTGGGGGAAGGGCTGTGATATTTTTGGTTCCATAATTTCAGATTTTACTTGACAACCAAGCTTGGCTCTTGTCTCATACTGCTTTTCCTAGAGGCAGATGGCTGGGACCCGAGAGTATCAGAAATATTTTAAGACTAATTTAATATTTTGTATTTCTAGGAAAAAGAAAAGCTTCAAAGTTATTATCGCTTGAGCTGAGCTTGGCGGCATATGCCTGTAATCCCAGCACTCAGGAGGCTGAGGCAGGAGGATCATTGCAAGTTCGAGACCAGCCTGGGCTACAAAGTGCGCTCAAGGCCAGCCTGAACTGCATAGTGAGACCCTGCCTCAAAAAGGAAAAAAAAAAAGTTATCACTTGAAAGCTGAGAACTTTTATTGGTATTTTTTATGCCTGTTTTATTTTTCTTTTTGAGACAGGGTCTCACTATGCAGTTCAGGCTGGCCTTGACCTCACTTTATAGCCCACACTGGTCTCGAACTTACAGTGATCCTCCTGCCTCAGCCTCTTAAGTGCTGGGATTACAGGCTTGTGCCACCACACCCTGCTGTATGCCTATTTTATTGTTGAATGTTGCTCTTCTTTTGGATCATTCATAAGTAGGCACCCACATTTTGCACTCCCTGGAACTTCCAGAGGTCTCATCTGGCTTTGGCATGGTCCCCTGTCACCAGGTGAGTCAGGCTGGACCTAAATTGAATGCAGAAGGTTGGAAAGAGTCTTGAAAACATTGCATTAAGTCAGAATGGCCAGATAGACACAGGTCACATATTATATAATTCCATTTATAGAGTATATCCAAACTAGGTAAATCCCCGAGGACAGAAAAGATTTGTGGTTTCAGAGGGCTAAGGGTAATGGGAAGAGAATACTCCGTGGGTTCGGGGTTTCAGTTTGGGGTGATGAAAATATTTTGAGCTAGAGAGAAGTAATGACTGCACAACGCAGAGACCATATTGGATGCCTCTGAACTGTGCCCTTTAAAATGAATGGCTTCATATTACGTGAATTTCATCTCAGTTGGAAAAAAAAGGATAGAATTCAGGTCTTCCAGTCACATCAGGTACCGTCACCCCCACCCCGACCGACATTTCGCTTTCTGTGGTTTCAGTTACTTGTGGTTAAGCATGGTCCAAAAATATTCAACGAAAAATTCTAGAAATAAAGAGGCCACAGTCACATAACTTTCATTACAGTATATTGTTATAACTGTACTATTTTATTATACTATTATTCTTAGTCTCTTACTGTCCCTAATTTGTCATATATCCAATGTATAGGGGAGAAAGATAGTATATGTAGGGATTCTGGACATCTACTGGGATCTTAGAATGTATCTTCACGGATAAGGGAGGACAACTGCAGCTACCGGCTCTGAGCCAGCGCTGCGGTAGGTATTTCCCACCCAGGCTATGCTCTGAAGGAAGCAGGAAGTGGACATTAAGGGCACGGTGCCCACCCAGCAATTGGGGAGCTGACACACACGTCCCTACTTTAAGGGGCAGAACAGAGTTTAGAGCCAGTGTGCTCTGTGTCTTCCAGCCCTGACGTTACAGGCCTGTCACCACAAGGCCACTAACACCACCCATTGTCTGTCCTCACAGGGAAGTGACAGTGAGTATGAGGTCGACCCGAATCCCCAGAAGGCCCACTCCTTTGTCAACCACTACATCAGTGACCCCACATATTACAACTCCTGGCGGCGCCAGCAGAAAGGCATCTCCAGGGCCCAGGCCTACAGCTACACAGAGAGCGACTCTGGTGAGCCTGACCACACCACCGTGGCCAACAGCAACAGCGCCCAGCAAGGGAGCCTCTTCCGGCCCAAGACCAGCCGGACTCCAACGCCCCAAAACCCCCCTAACCCCCCAAGCCAGCAAAGCACCCTCTACCGTCCCCCCAGCAGCCTCGCCCCTGGCTCCCGGGCTCCAATAGCAGGATTTTCATCATTTGTTTGATGTCAGAAGAGGAAAGAAGAACGAAAAAAACGATACCAAACTCCTCCTTTACAGCTTCCTCACCGCCTGCCAGAAAACAAAAACACCAAGAAACTAAGTCAGCTTTTCAACTCCTGAGTTTATTTTTCCAAGATTCCAGGGCCAGTAAAGCTGGGACTAAGAAGGAGGCTGAAAAAAAAAAAAAACCGCGCGAGGACGGGTGTGGCCAGCAATGGGTCGGCTTTGAGACTATGGGGTCCACTGCAGCGGCAGAGGACTCAGTGGGTTGGGTCCTTGAAGAGAGGGGGGAAGGGAAGACACTGGTCTGGAGCCCTGGAGGCTGGGGTGGCTGAGGGGTGGGGAAGCTTTCTGGACATCTCGCCAACTGCCTGCTTCCCATGTGTGCTGGATCCCAGGCCCACTTCTAGCTGTTCTCTTGGGAGAAGGATGGGTGCCCCCAGAGGCAAAGGGCGGCTTCTCTCTTGCGCCTTCTCCTGGCAGGTGTCCCATGACCCTGCCCAACTCCCTGCCTGGCCTCGTCACGTCCACTGCTCACCTCACTTGCTCAACTTCCCCACCAAGCACCTGGTTTATTTAGAAAAGGGAAAAACAACTAAAGGGTGAGAAGCTGCTTAGCAACTTCCCTGGTCCTGCATATTTTTAAAACTGTGACCCCACAGAAAAGGGCTGGAGGGCCGCAGAGAGCCCCCACACAGCCACGCAGCCAAACCCTGCCGCTCTTTGCGTGAGTTCAGTTCCGGAGCACAGAGGAGGGGTGAGTTCTGGGGAACGCAAGTGTAGGGTGGCGCCTGGCTCCAGTCTGGGGACGACCAGGGTTAATGCCTTGCAGGAAGTCAGGAGTGGGAGGATGGAGCTTTGACCCTTCTTTCTTCCAGTCCAGCTACCACCTGTCGCACTTTTAAAGGAGGGAAACAAGGATGCTAGGACAAGGAGATTCAAATTGGCTAGGCCAGGAGTTTGGCAGGTGAGGATCACTGTCAGGGTACACACACCACTTTCCCTCTAGCACTCATGGGTATGTGCACATACCCACTTCAAGGAAATGGGCCTAGGAATCCTCTCCAGGAGAATTCCCCCTTCCCCAACAGCACGTCACTTCTGGGTTGCTGTCCCTCTGCCTCTTCACCCAGAGCCTCCTAAGCACAGCACACAGGAGCCCAGGGCAGTGGCCTAGTCCCTGGTCCAGAGGCCAGAGTAGTGAAAGTGCACCCACTCCACTCAGAACTGGGTTTACAGAGTCAAAGGACACCCCAACCCCCAGTGACATCTTCCAGGCTGGGCTCAGCTGGGCCAGAGCTGGGAACAAGGAGAGGCTGGTCAGTAGGCCCAGGGCAAACAACAGCCTCTGAGATGCCTGGCCAGCCAGGCCAGGAGGGGTGGATCATGTGGGACCTGGGGACGGGAAAAGCTAATGAGAAGCAAAGCTTTTATATGCACACAATCTGCTCCAAGGAATGTTCTTTAAAAAGCTGCTCCGGGTGGCCTGATCTTCCCATCAGCTTGAGACTTCCAGCGCAAGGTTATTCAGATTCTCTGGGCTGTCTGAGGCCCCTGGGGATTCCAGCCAGCCCTGTGAAACTGGCCCGAGGCCCATGCACTGCTGGGGATGGATGGATGGATGGTTACCTCTCTTAGCCGGGACCTGTTGGATTCGGCACAGGGCCCCTTAGTGAGCAGAGTTTCCTGGCAGTGCCCTGCAGCCCTGCCCTGGAGAAGGCCAGACCCTGTTTAGAAGGATGAGAAGCATCAGAGGAGGCCCAAGTGGGGAGTGGGTGGACAGACCAAGGAAAGAGAGAGCCTGTTCCCCTCCCTACAAGCCCCAAATTAGTCATTGTGCGAATGGTGACTGGGAAGGAAAGGCAAGGACAGGGCCCAGGAAAGGGTATGCTCACCCAGGGTGTGTGGGCTGCCCCAGTGCACTTGGCCCCTGGGAAATGTGAATGGGGAGATTTGACCCTGCTGCTGGATGCAGACAGTGACTTCTCCATGAGATCAGCTTTCCTCTAAAGCAGGACAAGGGGCTGCAGCTTCACTCCTCTGGAGAGTCAGGTGCTCAGGGCCTCTGAAGACTTGTCAGAGGCTGCTGGGGGCCTACCCACCTGCCTCATCGGGCATGTCCATGGCCGCACATCTGCAGCCTTGCTTGTGATCTCCCTGCTGCACTTCCTTTTTTTCCTGTTTTTTTTTTTTTAACAACTTCATCTTTCTTCTCTGTGGAGTGTTTAACCATTTAAGGAAGTTCCCAGTTTGCATTAAGGAATTATTTTAACCCAGCCCAGTGACAGAGTTCAGGGGAGGGAGCAGGGTGAATAGAACCATTGTGTGGATGTGTGTACATATTGCACGAGGCCAGTTTTCCTTTGCCTTTAATGAATCACTTGGTGCACTACGGTATCTCCCTCCCCCTCCCCACGTACTCATTTGCACCTGAGCTGACACCCACGTGCACATAAGTGATGGTGCCTGTGCACACCTGTGCTCGTGCACACACACAGATATGCATAGAACACATGCCCGTGTGTGTGTGTGTTAGCAAAGGGGCTCTTAGTGGTCATTCTGATGGTCTGAGCTGTATCTCCCCATTAGGCACATGTGGCCTGGGTGACAGGTACTTTGGGTGTACTGGGGATCTGGACCCGAGAAGGTGAGGACACTAAACCACAGCTCCTAGAGGAGCCCAGGAAGTCAGGCTGGGCCCATGGTAAACGTCCTCCCCTTAGTCAATACCTACCCATCTGCAGTGTTCCCGCCACTGCCCCTGCCACATCTGGGCACCCAGGAGGGTCTCTAGTTGTGGAACTCTAGGTTTTTTTTAAAGAAGACATCTTTTTGCCCTTGTTTACATATCTTCTGGGGCAGGGGAGGCTCATGGCACCTCCTCCCAGACACCTGGCCACTTTAGAAAGGTGTAGTGGGCACTACCCATGGGTCTTAGGGAGCCTTCTTGGCCTTTGACTTCCTGAGCTGTGACGCCTGGACCCCTGCTGGGGTGCAGGTCTCAGAAGCAGGTTCATACCTGCCCTTTGGTGGTGCCTCACTCTGCCCTAAGGAAATCTGGTGGTGTTCTCAGGAGCCCACGTTTGGCACACCAGGCCACTCTTTCCCCTCCTGACTATTTCCTGGGTTCATGTGAGCTCTGCACCCAGACTGCCAAGATAAACCAAATAAATGCTCTGGGTTCCAGAAGCACCTTCCTTCTAGGGCTCAGGAAGTTTGCAGACCCAAGCTGCCTCCCCTTCTGTCCCCCACCCCCCCCCTCAAACTGACACTGCCTGAGTCAGAGGAAACAAGGCCACAGCGGGGCTGCCATGCCCAGCACACACTTCTCAAGGCCTTCTCTCGCTGCCCATGCATCCCGAGCAGCGCTTCTAAAGGTGCCAGAGCCTCACCATAGGCCACGCTAGGCAGGGGCTTCCCTCACCTGCCCAGGGAGCACAGTGAGCCCACACTGGTGAGGAGCCAGCAGGCAGGAGGGTGCAAGGGGACCCTCTGAGCAGCTGCACCAGCTCCTGAGTGCCTCTGTACGGTCCTGTGCAGGGACACCTACCCTGATCACTACCCTGCCTGCACACACAGGTGCACCCTTGGGACCACCTCCTCTTCTCTCTGTTTCCATAAGATAACCAAAAGCATTTAAACGTGTGACCTTCGCTCACCCATACAGACTCCCCAGACAAAAATCAATACAAATCTTTATTTTTTTGATTTAAAAGATATAATGACAAATTACGGGGAAAGTATTCATTATGGCAGGTGTCTATCTGTAAGAAAATATATATCTATATGTCATATAGCTTGTTAGCAGGTTTATTTTTTAAATGAAAGGTTAAAAAAAAAAGAAATTGATTTGAAATATATACCACGAGAAGTCCCATGTCCTGTCAAACTGTTAGTATTTTATAAATAAACTTTTGTTTTAGAATTCGGAAGTAACGTTCATTCTCCACCCTCCTGCACCCGCTGTGACAGTGAAGAGGGGACACCTACCGAGGTACTGTGCTCAAGCAATCCGCTCCAATATAAACCAAACCTTCAGCTCTGTAATGCTTTTGCAGGGCCCAGCCACCTGCCCTCTTAATTCATAGGTGGCAGAGGTCTGTGCCTTCAAGTGAAATGCATTATTTTATTTACTCTACATTGTCAGAATAAGAGCTTCTCAGACGTATTATGCAAGTGATCGTGATTAGTAATAATAATATCGGTAGCTAATAGTTGCATGACATTCACGCTATGCCTGGTGCTTTTGCTGTCACTATGCATTCTGTATCTCATGAAATCCTTGTGACAGGAGAGCAAATGGGGCAGAGAGAGTTGGAGTGGCTTGCCCTCGGGAAGTGGCAGGGCCAGAGTTTGTAAGGAAGCAGTCTGGCAATCGAGATGTACATTGCCTCTCAGATATTTTAAGGCAACTGTTTTACCATTTTATTTTAACTTTTACAATGCTAGCACCCTAGGTCCTGCTGATCTGGATGGCATGACAAAAATCATGTAGTTTGGGGATTCTAAGCCCACTGACCCACCCTGGTTCAGAGTTAGGGCTTAAATTTCTGGATTTATAAATACAATTGTTGCATGACCATCCTTATGTCCCATAAATTAAGTCATATGGACTCAAGAGAAAGCCAGGCATGGTGGTGCATGTCTGCAATCCCACCACCTGGTAGGCTGAGGGAGGAAGACTGCATGTTCAAGGCAAATCTGGGCTACATAGTAAGGCCTTGTCTCAGAAACCAAAGCAAAGAGAGAGGCAGAGGAGGGAGGGGATGAGAACAGGATAGGGGATTGAGGTGTAGCTCAGTGGTAGAGCACAGGCTTAGAGTAAATGAGGCCCTGAGTTCAGTCCCTACCACTACCCCTTTAAAACATATGTAATAAACATTACTCAGTGAGTACACTTATTTCACTGCCTACATTACTACTGAATGCACATCAGACATTTATGCAGAAAGAGGCAGCTCCACCAATCAAAATAAAACTGAAGCAGGAAAAAAAAGATATTTCTTAAATGCTTCATTTTTACTTAAAACATAAATGTAAATTCATTCACCAATCTGCTGATGTTGGGCCATGGCACTGCTTTTTTTTTTTTTTTTCAAGAATGGACTCCAAGTATGATGTTCTTTATTATCATCTCTTTTGCATAAATCACACTTATAATGCATCATCCGTGCACTCCAATTTCTGTTTCTTTAAATCAAGAACATATGAAAATTAGAAGATTGCTGTAAGAGCAGAATCCTAGATTTCACTATCTTCTACAGTTTTACTTTCTGCCCCATGACTAATTCAACACATTTTATCTTTTGCAACTTCCCTTTGCCAAAGCATTTGTTTTCCCAAAGCATTCAACATAATTTTCAGAGAAATAACTATTCTCTTTTTCCACTCTTATTTTATCTGCTACATCATAGTTTATTAAATTATGTAATTACTATAAAAAATACAACTGGTATAAACAAGGGGAGGATAATGGACTCTTTGTAAACACACAACTCAATTTTGTAAACCCAGAAATGTATAGGAGTGATGGAAACCAGGTTCATACCTTTGGCACTTGGGATGCTAGTGGTGTCTGTATGCTTTGCCGAGGGACTACAGAGCATCCATTAAAGTGACGAGGTGTTAAGAGGAGGTCAGATAAGAGAGCTTCTGCTTATATTATAGTGTAAACCCTGTATGCTGTACTTTATGGCCAATTTTCAAGTTGATAAGGGGTTTTCAAGGGTAATTTTGACTACACATAATTTTCATCTTACACATACTTTGGAACCCTACCCCCACATTAGAAATAACTTTAGGCCCACTGCCTGAGGATATTTGGCTAAAGGATAATAACATGGAAGAGATTCTGCAGTCATAAGAGTGGGCTGACTCCAGAATGATCCTTTGCAAATGGTGAGACAAAAAAGTGCTTCTCGTTTTCCCAAGGGAAATGAGAGGGCCATACAGAGCAAATATAATGATGGGGTTCAAAGAAAGGGCTTTGACACCTGGGGGTAGATCTCAGTGGTAGAGTGCTTGCCTAGCATGCATGAGGCCCTGGGTTCAATTCCCAGTGTCACAAAGGGAAGAAAGGAAGGAAGAGAAGAAGGAGAGGAAGGAAGGGCTTTGACCATCAAAAAATATGGCACATACAGAAAGCATATTGTTCCAGACCTTGAGGGAGCCACACAGTATTCTTTAATTCCAATCTTCTTCCTCATTTATTTTCAAATTAGTGGCTGGCCCCTCCCTAACCATGGCTAGTGGACTTTGACTGTCTCCAGTTGCATGACCAGACACATACATTAGAGGGGAAGTGATAATGCCTACACCCAAAACAAATAGGATGGTAATTCTACCAAGAAGAGGATGGGGAAATGATGTTTTCTGAAGCCAATGAGTCTTACAGTGAGATAACAAACTAGTCTGAACTATGAAAGTACTAACATCCCCCAATCCTAGAAGGTAACTTTACCTGAGAAAACCCTGGGTGGTGGCTCAGAACTCTGCAGAGATTCTCCAAGCTCTTAGAGTTTCCAAATGGAAAAAAGCACTTTGAGTTACCTAAGCTGACCAAAAGATCACGGGGCTGGCAGATGGGAGTTCTCACTAATTCCAGCTTCCACTTGAAACTCAGGTCAGCCTCCAGCAGCAGGATAGGTGCAACTTCTGCCTTCTGCAGCACCCCATGTATAGATCTGAGTCTAGGAAAGTAACCTCTTAGAAGCAACCTCCAGAGGGCCCTGCCCTGACCACCACTCCCATCCCAGTTTCTTTTCTGCATGAGGAAGAGCAAGCCCAAAATTACCAGAGCTGCTGTTTTTGGTTTTGTTTTTGTTTTTGTTTGTGTGTGTGTGGGTACTGGGAGTTGAACTCAGGACCTTGCGCTTTGCCAGGCAGGCACTTGTACCACTGAGCCGTATCCCCAGCCCTCTTCTTATTTCCTGAATGCAAAGGAATCGAGGGTTGTCCAGAGTCCACAGGTGAGAAAGTGGCTGCAGGGGTCTCTGGAGGTTAGGAGCTATGGAAGTATGTCTTAGTCACTGTCCCAGCACTCGATATAATATCCAACACCCACAGTTTAAAGGAGTAGAGGTTTATTGTTGACTCGTGATTTTTAGAGCATTCAGTCCAAGGTCAGCTGGCTCTAAGGCAGAAAGGCAATGGTGGAAAGGTCAGATAGAGAAGAGCTGCTCATATCACATTGGCTAGTGGCAAAGAGAGAAGCCAGGGAGGAAGACACCCTTCCAGCTCACACCCCCCAGGGATCTGCCTCTGCCGGCCATGCCCTGTGTTCTAACAGCATACTCAGGTCTGAACCCTCCAGGGCACTAATCCATTGCTTAATCCACTCCATGACCCAGTCATTTTCCAAAAGCCTAACTTCTGGGCACATGAGCCTTTTAGGGGACATTCTAGAGCTAAACCCTAACAAAGGATGTTTTGTTTGGATGAAATATAAGAAGGTAAGAGAAAATTAAAATACAAAACAGATTCTGCAGGAGACATACTTATCTAAAAACCTTATTTGTTGTGTATCAAAATTTCACATTTAACCAGGCTCAAGTCCCAACTTGACATTAGATGTGAGGATTGGGCAAACCTTCCACAATATGATTCAACCTCATAGAAAGTGTGAAGGCTGCCGGGCGTGGTGGCACACGCCCGTAATCCCAGCACTCGGGCAGCTGAGGCAGGAGGATTGTTGCGAATTCAAGGCCAGCCTGGGCTACAAAGTGAGCTCAAGGCTGGCCTGAACTGCATAGCCAAAAAAACCAAAAAAAAAAAGAAAAGAAAAAAAGAAAAAAGAAAGAAAGAAAGCGTGAGGGTACTAGAAGGAGACTGTGTGCTAACAGCATTTGGACACCATACAGCACTCGATGAGGGTAAAGGATTATTGCTATTGTGTGTGGATAAAATGACATTTAGAGAAAATCGCCCAAGAGCTTCTGGCTCTGGGAACAATTCACCTCAATTATTCCTAACTTCTACTCCCTCATCAGGTCATATACCACCCCTCCTTGGGATTCTTCCTAGGTGGAAATAGTGCCCAACACTCCTGGATCTTAGAAATTTGAGCGTGTCTGGGGGACAGGGAGCTAAGCCAGCCAATCCAACTGTATCTGTCAAGGTGGCAAGCAGTGGCACCTCAGCTGAGGAGAGAGTTACAAAGAGACTGCTCCTGTGTTGTAGGAGAATCACTGGGAAGCTACAGGGGTACTCCAAGTCCCAGCACTGGTGACAGCTCGGTGGCATGACCACCCCAGATCCGACATGGCCAATGGAGGGAGAGATTGTTGGAAACTTGAAAAAGAAAGTCAGATGGAGGAGATGAAAATGCCCAAAGAAGTCAGGGAGGGACACAGGGCTCCTCAGTTCCCAACCTTGCTCTCTCGTCATTCCGTTCTCCTGCCCCTGATCACTGTAACTGAGCCCAACTCTCAGTGGGAATTTGAGGGCACCGAGGGGCCATCCATGCATGGGAGCCTCCCTATTGGGCACTGGCACCCGGATAAGGGGCAGATAAGAGCCAGCAGGTGCCCAGCAAGGTCTACCGATACCTTCCCATGTTGATTGTCCTATAGAACATTCCACTCTTGTTCCCAAGTCAGATGATCATGCCCTCCTCCTACACTCCTCTTTCTTGATATGCCTAAAGAGTAGAATTAGACCCAAAGAGGCTCACCAGGCACTTTCATCAGAACAGACGGGATTTTCTGGTGTGTTGTAGAACTTAAGAGGTTTTTGCCTTGTGTAGTTTGCAACCTCCTGAGTCAGTGCAAGCTGCATGAAACAGCAGCTGTGCTGGGTGTGGTGGTGCAGGCCTGCAATCCTGAGGCAGGAGGATCGTTGTGAGTCAGACACCAGCTTGGGCTACAAAGTAAGCTCAAGGCCAGCCTGAACTGCAATGCAAGACCTTGTCTCAAAAAAACAAAAAAG